CTGTCTCTCTCTCAAATAAATTTAAAACAAAGGCACCACTAGTTGACTTGTCTGAACACGTGGGAATACCTTCCTTTTGTTAACCAACCCCATCACAGAAATCCTCCTTCTTTTGTTATCAAACCAATGGTCAGTTCTGTCCTGCTCTCACTTTACCTATCACCAGCAGTTAATAAAACTGACTACTCCCTCCTCCTGGAAAAACTGTTTTTCCTCCTGGTCATTCCCAGTCTCTACTCTCTTCTCCCCAGCTTCTAACCTAGTGATTCTCAAACTACCAATGATCAGAATCACCTGGAAGGCTTCTTAAAACGCAGTGTTGAATTCCACCCTTATTCAGGATTCAGCGGTGGGACCTGAGAATTTCCATCTCTAACAAGTTCCCAAGGGATGCTGAAGCTGCTCAATTGGGAATCAACTAAATGTTGGAATGTCCTGTGCTTCAATCCTTGGGCCACTCTTCTTTTTCTGTGAACACTTCTTAATAATATTGTTCAGTCTAGATGTCCTAAATAGCATCCAAATGTGATCAACTCCCAATTTGTATCTCTAACATGGGCTTCTTCTCTGAACTTGAGCTCTCTCCTCAGCCTCTTTACTTGGATGTTTAATAAGTATCTCCTATATGGGATGTTTAAAACTGAAATTTTGATGCCCTTCCTTCCCCAATGCCATAATTCTTTATCCTGCAGTTTTCCCTACTTCAGTAAATGGCAGATCATCCTTCTGGTTGCTCAAACACCTTGGAGTCATCATTCTTCTCTTTATCTTGCAACTCACATCTAGTTCCTCTACAAATCCTGCTGGCTGTACTTTCAAAATATATGCAAAATCTGACCACGTCTCACCACCTCTACTGCTGCCTCCCTGGTCTAAGCACCCAACCTCTCTTTCCGGATCACTGCAAATGCCTGCTAATGGGTCTCACTCCTACTCTTGCCCTGTACATCCTATCCGCACTATACACACACACACAAACTCTCTGATCTCATCTTCTACCACTCTCCCTTCATTTGTTCTACTGCAGCCACACTGGCCTGTCATTTTTGAATGGAAAGAAGCATGCTTCCAATATGGAGCCTCTGTGCTTGTTCCTCTGGCTAGATAGACATCCTGGGTAGATACCCTCCAGGTATCCACATGGCTTGCTCTTGGACTTCCTCGAAGCCTTTCTTTGTGAAGCCTTTGCTGACCACTTAATTTTTTTCCATAGCACTTATCTCTAACATATCATTAATTTTGCTTATTGGGTGTCTCCAACACATGTACACCACAGATTAAGCTCTATGGGAGGAGTATCCTAGAGTATTTATTGCTACTTAGATGATCAATAATTGAGTATACTCTTCTCTATACTTGTAGAGAAGATGTAAATGCCTAAAACTAATATTGCTCTAATTGCTTTTCTCGGTTTTCATTTGTGTGCTTTTGGAAAACCTGGACTTCCTTCATAACCCTACGTTTATTTACAGAGGCTCTACTTTAGAAATAATGTAGCCCTGAACACTACCAGCACATAAATTGGTGTTCCATAGTAGAGTGGAGTTGGAGCCCTTTAAGATAAAAATCCACTGGTCCCCAATGAGTCCCCATTGTCTCTTAAGGGTTTTCCTAAATTTAGTGAGGGTTTCTGTTTCCTCTAGTCTGTCTTCGTGTTTGCCACAACATCCCACCAAGAAAGCATCTTTAGGGACGCCTGGGTGGGTCAGCGGTATAGCACCTGCCTTCTGCCCAGGACGTGATCCAGGAGTCCCAGGATCAAGTCCCGCATCAGGCTCCCTGCATGGAACCTGCTTCTCCCTCTGCCTGTGTCTCTGCCCCTCTCTCTGTGTGTCTCTCATGAATAAATAAATAAAATCTTAAAAAAAAAAAAAAAGGAAAGCATCTTTGCATTCCTAAAGAAGCTACAGTGCCTTGAAAGGCCATTTACTTTGAGGTTGAAGTTGATAGGTGGAGAGATAAACAAGGAATCCATTAGTCATGGAAGAAAGCAAAACTGAAAACGTGAAGGTAGGATTTGGATGGCAAACACATGGAGGTCTCAAGGACATGAGATTCAACAGAAGAGAGAGGTGCTACAGGTCTCAAATAGGGAGAAAGGAAGGCATACTTGAGACAGGCAATCAAACTTGGAGTGAAATAAACAGCAAAGGCAATAAATTGGGCATGAGTATATGCCTAGTCAAATCATGTTTTACCTTTGGGCCTCTGCACATACCCTTAGTGCTTTGTTCCACCTCAGCTGCCTGAACCTATGAACCCATTCACATTTGACTGCACCATCTTCAATCAAAGCTGGGCAGTTAACTGCCTGGGAGTGGCAGTCTCTCCCCCTTGCTTGCCACAGGCCAAACAACTGCACAGCTCAAGTTTCTGGTTCCTTGCACCACTTCCAGGCTTGCTGAAGTGTCACACAATGGGCTGTGGGATTTGGCCTCCCTAAATGGCTGGATGAAGCAACCTGAAAGATTGAGGGAAACAGGAAGAACTTGATCAGATAAATTCCTTCTGCTTCTCTTTGTCCATCAACTCTAATAGGAATTTCATTTGGCTGTGAATACAGTGATTAAATAGATAAGGGTTTATTCTCTCATGCAAGATCAGAAATAGGCAGTCCAGAGCTGGTGTGGAATCTCCATAAGATCATCAAGGAATCAGAGGTCTTCTATTTTTCTCCTTTCCTATTCTTCAGGCACGGCTTAGATCCTCAAAGTCACCACAAAAAAAAAAAAAAAAAAAAAAATTCTCAAAGTCACAAAATGGCTGCTGGAATTCCAGCCACTAAATCCACATTCCAGGTAGAAAAGGGAAGGGCAAAGGCAAAAGGAGGTTTCTTAGCTGCCCCCCCCCTTTTTAAAGATTTTTTATTTATTCATGAGAGACACAGAGAGAGAGAGAAAGTGAAAAACAGAGGCAGAGACACAGACAGAGAGAGGGAGAAGCAGGCTCCATGCAGGAAGCCTGATGTGGGACTTGATCCCGGGTCTCCAGGATCACGCCCTGGACTGAAGGTGGCGCTAAACTGCTGAGCCACCAGGTCTGCCCTGGCCCTCCCTTTTAAGGCAACTTTCCAAAAGTCCTATTGAACAAATTCCAATTGTACCAACATATCATTTGCCTACTATTTGATGTATCAACATACTATATTGGCTTGACATTTGATATATCGGTATTTCATTAGCCTGACTAGCCATACCTCACTATAAGAGAGGCTGACCAATATAGTTGAGCACTCTGTTACTCAGAAGAGACTTGGATTTCTTACTAAGAAAGAAAAGAAGTATGACTACAAGTTAGGCAACTAATAGCTTCTGCCACAGTAAGCATTAGTCAATGCTTAGTCTCAACACTGGCTTTTGCAAGTAACTTAATCATGAGGTTCTTTAAATTGGATTAATAAGTTGAACTACTGATCCTGGGATATTTAGTCAATTGCCTCTTCTGCAGACTTTGCACAGGTTTCATATGCATGTGTGATGGAAAGGAAGCTATATCTTTACACGATACCTATGGCATGTTCGATAGGCTGGGCATCATACAAGGGGTCAGATCTTTGATCATCACAGGGACTGATTTTTTTTGTGGTCTCTGCTACAGGTCTGTACTCTAACTCCATTTTTCCTGCCCAAGGTTCCAGATTCCTGTCCATTAACAAGATAAAAGAAGAGTATGCCACGCTAATTCTCTACCTTCATCCATTGTAATACCAATATGGTACAAGAAATGAAAATAACTGTGCTTTAAAAAAAAAAAAAACACCTAGAAGTGAGGAACCTTTCTTCCTCCTCATCTAGGTACTCATGTTCTATAGGCTGCTTTGTGGAATTACTGCTTTATTACTGAAGGAATTCTCAAGATGTAGGTGTGAGGAAGCCAATCTATATCTCCTGTGTAGTTGTAGATAGGACAGTATGCATTTTGGTTTCACAGATACTGATGCTCTGGCAAGGAAGAGATCATGTCTAATAGGATGTGGTGGCCTGGCTCTCAGTTACATCCTCATGTCTGCTGCTTTTGCACCGAAGGATGACTACCCCTGGATGAGCTATGGTATTAACTTTGGCTTTGAGATATTTTTTGAGATAGATATAGCCCCATCTCCTGGTTCACTGTGGCTGACTTCTTCAGCCTGGAACCCACCCAGCTGTCGTGGCTACAGCTGGCTTGCATTTGGACTTTGAACTTTCAGTGTGAATATTTTTCCCTTCAACAGTTTTATGTGAAAACATATGAGAAAGGGAAGGTGTTGTGTTCACGGTATAGATGGAATGGCAGAGCCAGGATAAGGAATTTTAGTTATTAATGAGATTCAACAAATATAACACAAAAACGCAACCACTAACCTAGAAACAAGGGTAATAGGTTAGTCTACTAGAGGTCAAAGTTCAGGTTAGAGGGCAGAAGAGACAAAGCTCAGGGAAACTAAGGATCCTGAGTGAAGAACAGAGCATACCCAAACTAGGGCTCTAGAAACGTCCAAGAAGAGTGGATTGAGAGCTAATAGCACAATTATAGTGAAGGTATTTAGAGTCCTACATACATATTAGCTTCATGTTAATTTTCTTATTCAAGTTTCTAGTTCTAGAAAGTGCTTTTGATTGGGGACTCAAGTTCTTATGACTAGACAGGTATTCATTCATTGAGAAAATATGTAATAAGTGGCAGGCACCACACGGGGGACACAACAGTGGACAGATATGAAATAGTTCCTGTTCTTATTGTGCAATCTAGAAATAAAAAAATAATTATAAGTAAATAAATAAGTAAATAAATAAATACAAATATATGATGCTTATCTTAGGGTCCCCTTCAAACACTTACAAAACATATTGATTGAAGAGCTTCTGACCAATCTGGGGATCCTCGGAGTATTATATTAAGTATGAGGCATCCCAGGGGAAGTCTATGGCATGGTCCATTGAGACTATTTATTGAGACTCTAATACCAAATGGAGGCATGAGAATAAGCAGTAGTTAGAAGGTACTCAAACAAAAATCTTCATTATCTTGAGCAAAAGCATCTTAAGTCTCTATGGGAGTCCCTTGCTGGCCTGAAGCACCTCTATGATACTCTGAAGTCGGCCTGGCATAACGTCGCTGATGTTGGATGATAGAGGACTTGCAACTGAACACCTTCCCACACACACTGCATTCATAGGGCTTCTCCCCAGTGTGTACTCTCTGATGCTGTGTAAGTGGTCTCTTCTGAAGGAAGGCTTTCCCACATTCATTGCATTTATAGGGCTTGTCTCCATTATGAATTTTCTGATGCTGATTAAGGGATGAGCGGTCAAAGAAAACCTTCCCACACTCATTACATTCAAAAGGAGTCTCTCCTGTGTGGGCTCTCCGGTGGCGAATGAGGGAGGAGCGGTCAAACAGGGCTTTGCCACACCCCTTGCATTCATAAGGCCGCTCTCCAGTGTGAGTGAGCTTGTGACGAGCGAGGATGCTTTTCTGGGTAAAGGATTTCCCACATTCTGTACACTTATAAGGACTTTCTCCAGTATGAATTCTCTGATGGCGAGTAAAAGATGAGCGGACAAAGAAAGCCTTACCACATTCGTGACATTTAAAGGGCTTCTCTCCAGTATGAGTTCGCTGGTGTTCAGTAAGGGTCAGCCGGTCATAGAAAGTTTTCTCACATTCATTGCACTCAAAGGGACTCTTCCCAGTGTGAGACATCAGGTGTTTCTTAAGGCTACTCCTATAGCTGAAGGCTTTCCCACATTCTTGACAGTTATAGGGCTTCTCGCCAGTGTGTGTCCTTTGATGACGAGTGAGGGATAAGTGGTTATATAAGGTCTTCCCACATACAGTGCATTCAAAGTTTTTCCCCTTCTTGTTGGTTTTCTTGGCAGGAGTGGATCTTTGCGAGTCCTCCTCCTTGGGGGAGGATCTCTTCAAAGTCTTCCCTGAAAGATGTTCTTTCCTGGTGCCCTTGAGGTTTTCTGGGCCAAGTACAGGAACCAGAGGACCACCTTTTCTGAGTTTTTCCGTTAATATCTTTTGTGACTTTGCTTTTTTAGAAACATCCTGCCTTTGAGTTGAGTTCTGGCTCTCAAGTCTAGCATTCTGGTCTAAAACAAATAGAAATTACAGATATAACTGGGTCTTAATGTGAGCAAAAAAGAGAACATTATCTGTGTTAAGAATAGAATGAATACAAGATCCTGCCTGGTTTATTGGTAACCCCTCGAAAGAAAAACATCACAGAAAAATGGCAGAGTAACAGAGAAGAGAAGTGGAAGGTGCGCACTTAGGCCACTAAACAAGTTTTCGTTATTCATTATTAGATGTTTATTAGGTGCCTACAAAGTGCTAGGCACAGAAGTCTCTGGGACTCTACTGAACAAGAGAGACATGGTTCCTGCCCCCATGATGCTTATATTCTACACGACAGAAGACAAAGAGTAAACAAACAAAATATAGATGGTGGTAAGTCCAGTGAATGGAAGTTGCAGTGGGGTCTTCTTTAGAGGGAAAACTCAAGAATGGACATCTAGAAGTGTCATTTAAGCTGAGCTCTGAGAGATATGTTAACCATGCAAACAGCCAAAAGAAGAGCATTTCAGGGAAGGAGACATGCAGAAAAACAGGAGATACACAAAGAAATGATTAGGCAGTTTATTACATGTCAATGAGTTTAAACAGCAGAGAGTTTAAGTAGGAAGACCTGCCAGGACCTGAGAAAGTAAGCTGTAAATGACAATGATTTTTAAAGGAAGAGGAAAGAGATATGGTAAAAGGTAACTAGGAAAGATTAAAAAGTGTTATCAGAGTTAAATACAAATAAGGTTCTCAACCCTCTGTCTTACTTCCCCCAACGAAAACCTCCAACAGGTAGGATCTTGCTACCTGTTCATTCATCTGACAAATACCTGAGGATGTGCTATGTACCAGGTACTGTTCTAAACATTGGGGATCCAGTAGTAAACAACATAAAACCTCTGATGGAGTTTACATTTTAATCAGGGTAGGTATGGACAAACAAAATAAAGAAGTAAAAATATAGTATGTTAGGAAGACAGCCCTGAGAAGAGAGCTAGGTAGCACAGGGCTGGGGAGGAGGAAAGAGGTGGAGAGAGTTCAATTTACAGACAGGGTTGTCAGGGCAGGCCTGACTGAAAAGACAGCATATTTGAGCAAAAACCTGAAAAAGGTGACAAGAAAGCCACGTGGCTATCTGGGCATAAGTTCTCCAGACCAAGGCCCAGTACGGCAGTGACCATCTCCACAGGCCTATGACCATCCCAAGGTGTGGTCTCTAAGTGAACTGTCCAGCAAAATCCCATCTGCCTAGTTCACACATACCTAGAAAAGTGTTTGCTGGGACTTCTCTTTCTTCATCTTCCTGAAAATCAAAATTCCATGGCTCGTCACCTCTCTTCAACTGGAAAATCACATCAGGTTTAGGAACTAGAAGTCCTGCTCCCAAAGGACAAAATGAGAAATGGCTGTTTGGGATAGAAATTCACAACCCTCCCAGGGTGTAATAAAATCCCCTTTCTCTCTAGGGAGGAAGATGGAAGTATCCAAAAAACATATGCTCATTTCTAACAGAATATGCTAATTCTCCTTCTCTGAAGGGAAGTCAAAACTGACTTTCTAGAAAATCCAAATTAGATCTATTGAAGTAGTTCATGAATTCTTCTCTGATCTAGGAACCTCCTCAAATGGAACTAGTGTTCTTGTGAGTTGAAGGAAAATTCTTAGCTTAGAGAAGTGAAATATGGAGAAGGTTCTGCATCTCAAGGGATGAAGGTGAAGAAGCTACCCCATTTTCTTTTGTGGTTTTTAAAAATAATAATAGATTTGTATCCCTTAATTATACTTCTGTGCAATTATACTGAATTTGATGCAACTATAAATCAAACTGGAACAGTTTAAGAAATATTATTCAATTTAGATGCAGTTAATATTAAACATTTAAAACTGAAAACATTAATAATTTTTTAGAAATCTTTAAAAAGATAAATTATAATACCTTTGGCTTTTAATGATTTAAAGTGTGATATTTATTTTAAAAAAATATTTATTTATTTATTCATGAGAGACACAGAGAAGGGGCGGAGACATAGGCAGAGGAAGAAGGCTTCCTATGGGGAGCCCAATGTGGTACTTGATCCCAGAACCCCGGCCTCACACCCTGAGCCAAAGGCAGATGCTCAACCACTGAGCTACCCAGGCATCCCTAAAGTAGTGTCATTTATAAATGTCATATATAAATAAATTTATATAATAATATAAATTTTCTATATTTAGTTTTTAAATGCATTATTAAATGTTTAAGACATACAAAAGGCATAAAGACTCAAATATCTACAAACCACCATCTGACTTAAAAAATAAACATTAACAGTAAATTGAAGCCCCTCCCTAATCCCCTCCCTTTTCCCCCCATGAGGTAACCATTATACTAAATTTGGTGTTCATCACTGTGTTTTTAAAAATGTCTCCTTCTTTGTAGTTTTCCAGACTTTTTCTATGCATACAGATATACATTGTAAATGTACTTAGGTTCCAATCATTTCATATCCTGCTTTTATTATTTAATAATATATCATTAGTATCTTTCTAACTCTATAAATATCATTCATGGTCAAGGCCCATACTATACTGTAGTCCACTATGGATATATAATGATTCATTTACCTAGATAACTATTACCAAGTGCCTGCGTTGTTTCCATTGTTGCACAATTTTATTTTTATTTTTATTTATTTATTTTTTTTTGTTTCACAATTTTAGATAAAAACAGAGAAACATTTATCTAATTTTGTCTTATGGCAATTCCCAGGAAAGGGGCATTTTCCATTTTATATAATAAAAATTTTTGCTTAAAGTTAGGGTCTCAGACCAAATTTCACTTATCCTACAGACTCTATCCAGATCAAAATGGCCATTTACTGAGTGTTGACAGTCATTAATTAAATACAAACAATAAAAGGCAAATGAACTCACAAACTTTTCATACCCTTCCTGGGGATCTATCCAAAGGTGTACAAGTCTGCCCCCATAAGAAAAGAAGGGCCATCTTCTTTACACACACACACACACACACACACACACACACACAATGGCAGATTCTGAGTAACTGCAGAAAGTCATGCTTACCCAAAGAAACAAAATCCTGATAGTTCTCCAGCATCACTTCCCTGTAAAGAGCCCTCTGAGCAGGGACCAGTTGCTTCCACTCATCCTTTGAAAACTTCACAGCCACATCCTTAAATTTAAGAGACTTCTGAAAAGACAAACATGTTCTTACTCATCTATATGTCTTCTTTTATGTCTCACCAAGGAAGACAAAAGAATACAGCACCAGAAGACACATGGAATAGAAAAGAAATGGTTTTAATGATGTAAGGGCACTGGATATTTTACATAAGAGGTACAGGTCCTAGGGGCACCTGAGTGGCTCAGTCAGTTAGGTGTCTGGCTCTTGATCTCATCTCAGGTCTTGATCTCAGGATTATGAGTTCAAGCCCCATGTTGGGCTGCACACTGGGTGTGGAGACTAATTAAAAAAAAAAAAAAAGATGAGGTACCTGGGTGGCTCAGTCAGTTAGAGTCTGCCTTAGGCTCAGGTCATGATCTCTGGGTCCTGGGATTAGAGCCCAAGTCAGGCTCCCTGCTCAGCAGGGAGCCTGCTTCTTTCTCTCCCTCTGCCCTCCCCACGGCTTGTGATTATTTTTTTTTCCTCTCTCTCTCTCAAATAAACAAAATCTTAAAAAAATAAAAATAAAAAGAACTATAGGTCTGTGACCTGAGGCATGAAACTCTTGGTGATGACCTCATGTCATCGTATCCATGGCAGAGCTTCTAAAATTCAGGGATACTGTTTTTTTGCCTCAAATTTTTTTTAATTATATGCCTCAATTTTTTTAAATTATAAAATTAAAGAATTAGATTATCTTTAAATTCCCTTCCTGCTCTAATATTCATGGATCCATGAGATCTCAGCCTGAACAACTGATCCTTAAGTCAAGGGAAGATCTCTGATAAGTATATGAGGAGCAGAAGATACATTTAACAACTAAAACTGGAGAAAAAAGATAAAAAATATGGTATCCCTTTGAAAAGAATAGAATATACCAGACTAGATGATTCAGAATTTTTATATTCTCATGAAAGTTCTCTAAGCACTCCCTGAGCTCATTGCTAAGGGCATAGCTGCCCCAATCCTCTGCTCCCCAATCATTACAAAACACATGATGAGGCTGGTCACCAAGGCTTTATGAAAGGCCATTCAGAAGATCCCTACAGTTGTGTTGTATGGTGAGAAAGAAGAGAATCTGAAGATAGAAAAAGTACTAGTCATCTCTACAGAGCCCAACTTCTACCATAACAGGACCAATCTCCAAGGATGGCAAAGAAGCTCTGGACTGAGGAGAAGGCCAACTCACCTGCCATCTGGCTGTTACGGGCACAGCTGCCATTCTCTCCTCTTCTATATTCTCTTGGAAAAGGCCCAGGCCAGAGTTGGCTAAGCTAGAGAAGGAAACATAAAAGAGACCAATCCCATTTTGTAGTTGTCTGACCCAGACTAAAAATCTCTACATATTGGGGGATCCCTGGGTGGCTCTGCGGTTTGGTGCCTGCCTTTGGCCCAGGGCGTGATCCTGGAGTCCCGGGATCGAGTCCCACATCGGGCTCCCTGCATGGAGCCTGTTTCTCCCTCTGCCTGTATCTCTGCCTCTCTCTCTCTCTCTCTCTGTCTGTGTGTGTGTCTCTCATGAATAAATAAATAAAATCTGGGGGGATCCCTGGGTGGCGCAGTGGTTTGGCGCCTGCCTTTGGCCCAGGGCGCGATCCTGGAGACCCGGGATCGAATCCCACGTCGGGCTCCCGGTGATGGAGCCTGCTTCTCCCTCTGCCTGTGTCTCTGCCTCTCTCTCTCTCACTGTGTGCCTATCATAAATAAATTAAAAAATAAATAAATAATAAATAAATAAATAAATAAATAAATAAATAAAATCTTTAAAAAAAAAACTTCTACATATCAATTAGGTATGAAACAGCCCTCACTCTCAATACTCTACAAAGAGCAAAGCAAGTCTAGAAGTAAATTCACCCTTTCCCAGGGCATGAAAATTATGGATATTGCCACAACTCTGTTCTTGAGTTAGCAGCTTCCTGGGAACAGAACCCACATCAGAAACCTAATAAAAAATCAAATAGTTTACAATGAAGTTGATTTTTACCCCATTTAATAAATCTATAAGGATTGTGTTCTGTAGTATTTTGACATAAATAAGCCATTTAATAAATAACTCAATTTGACTTTCAAATTCAAGATGACCAGGAGATTGTTTATACTAACATTTTTTTGTAAGGCTACTATGAAGCCTATACGAGCAGGAATAAAAAAGTAAAAGCAAATTACTGTATTACTGTATTAGTCAAGTTTTATTTAGTTCTAAGGATGAGAAATACTTTCAAGACAGCTCTGGTGTTATTTTTAGGTTACAAGGGGCATTATAAGGATACTATAATTAAACAGCATCTAGGACTCATGACATTTGTGGCCCCTACCAGGATCTAAAGAACACTGGCTTCCTGTCCTAACTCCTTCCTGATTGCCAAAGGTCCCAAGTACAGGTTCAATAAAGTGACTGAATCTCATTCAACCCAGAAACGGAGTCAGACACCAGATGCTAGAAATTCCAGCCAGTTTATTTAGGTTCATTTTGTTGTTGTTGTTGTTGTTGTTAGAGCCATTTTTTAGTTTATTTATTTATTTCCACATCAATATGGGGCCTGAACTCACAACCCTACACTCAAGAGTTGTACATTCTTCCAACTGAGCCAAGCACCCCTGTCAGTCATTTTTTTGTTTCTACAGAACTAGGAGGCTATGCACAGAACGACACCCAGCTATTCAATGGTGAGTCCATGTCTGAATACATTTGCTTCTCTAGCAAGAGAAAAAGGGCAGCAGGATCAACCAGGATGGCCTGATTGACCACTGCCCCTACAGCACTGGCTGGCATCACAGAAGACCATGGGAAATAAAGGATTAGCTAGAGAGCTAGGGTGTCCAAGAGGGTATTATCACCGGCAGAGGCAGACAGGCCCCACCCAAATTTTGGTTCCAATACTGAGAATGATGATGCCATACACACAAACACAGACCAAGTGTATGAAAGGGTTTATTACTTACATAACTGAGGTCTCTTGGAGAGATCAGGGCAAGCCCCTTAAGCAGGTCCCAAATGGCTTGAGTGAGGAAAGGAGACTGGGTTTTTATTGTGGTTAGGGCCAGAATGAGCATTCCCACATGCCCACAGGAAGGGGTCTGTGTGATGTGAATCTCTTGCCAATGCCCAGGAAGAGAGCATTCAGGCTTCCTTATCAGCTTGTCCAGGTGTGGGACACAAGGGGAAAAAGCTGTCAGCACTCAAATATCAGAAAGTGAAGGCAGACTCCACAGAGTAACTATACATCTGGAATAGGATGAAGAGTCTCTAGTCGTACTCATCTCTGGGCCTGATAGGGAGACAATCTGTGATATAACAGTACCTGGAAGACATAAGAGGTAATAATATTCTCATGAGAAAGATTCCTTCATCTAACAGAAGTTTTATTCAGAGAAGTCTGAAAAACCCTTCCAGGAGAGGAGCCAGGAACAATCGTCTCCCCAAGGTTGCCAACGGAGAATGCTAGAACAGCATCCTGTCAGGGTTTTATTACAAAGGCTGTTGCAAGATGGAGTCAGTACCACTAGGGAGCGCAGAAGAGTAGAAAAAGAAAGAGGGTAAAGGGACCTATCAGTGCTCGTCTGAGGCTGATCTATGTAATACAATCCACACAATCCAGTAGGATAAGTCACATTTGGCACCATCTTCTGGATTCTAATTATGGTTGTGATCCACTACCAATTAGATTTTATTATTTTCATTAATAGACTTGTATACTCTGCTGGATACTGAAGGATAATGATGGTCCTGCACATCTTTCTCTCTTGCTCTTAAGATCTCTACATAGAGAACCTGGATGTGCCACAGTGGACATTTAGAATGGCCAATAGCAAGATTATGCTTATAATTTCTATGTATGCAGGCCATCTGACATGTGCTAGGAGGTGACCACAAAGGAGAATGGTGCTAGAACAAAGGGTGCTCTCTAAAGCCATCAAGGGCTAGATGGGTCTTATATCTCTTCATCCCCCAAGAGAATGTTTTTAGAACATTCTCCTCTGTACAGAGAAGGTTCAATGAGGTCTTCAACTCCCAGCCCTCCAGGGCTTATGGATCTCACACCCACAATTAACTGGCCAATGCTTCTGTGTCTCCTGCTTAGAATTCTCAAGACCATATTGGTTGCTAGTCATTGAGAGATCAATGACCTTAGATCACGTTTCCACCTCTTGCCCACTCAGCCATTTCCAAGGAGCACAAAGGAGAGTAGTTCTTAGAGAAGGAATATGTAGTCATATTTCAAGGTGAGTGACAGGCAACAAGCTGCAGCTATTGTTCTGTTTCTTGAACTCTGCCAACACTTCACACTTTTCAAGGAAATTGCTTTACCCACATCCATACAATAATAACTGACTCTATTTCCTGGCCTAAACTGATGGGCATCTGAACCAACTGATGGGCATCCTTCCCATGAAATTTTGGAAGTGGAACCAAGAAAAAAAAGTCCATCTCTTCTCATGAGGCTCCACTTGAGGGCATGAAAACTTGGGAGACCTCGAGAGTCACATTTTGTCATACAATCTGAGAGCCGAAAAAGCCAGTCACCAGTGACAGGGAAATATAAAACTTAAATACATACAGAAGCAGAAGCAAGGGATTAAGAGAGAGTCTTGAATTTGTTCCGTCCCCAGTTCCAGTTTACACACCTGTAGTCTTTTCTTTGGGGGCTCTGTGACCTAACCAAGTATCCTCAAAATGAATCCCCCTCATACTAGTTTGTGCGGGGCTTTGGTAATTTGCAACCCAAGAAGACCTAAGACAGGTAGCAAAGGCAAGCTTCCATCTTCCTCACCTGAGGTTTCATTGTTCATGTTCTGCTACCAGACCTCACCTCTTAAGTGCTCTTTGGAGTCCTGGGAGTATAGAGCAGACAGGGCATCCTATATGACTCAGAACCAAAAGGGGATATTAACCTTAAGATGCCCACCAATGTCATTAAAATAAGCTAAGGATGTTTCCAGCCAAGCCTAGAAACTCTTTTCCAATCTACAACCAAATGGACCCACATCATCAAACAAAGAGTCGGGGTCTTTATCTTCTTTGAACTCTCAGATTTCTGATTCAATCACCCAGTATATAAGTATCTTTGTATCTTTATCCTTCCAAGTAGGCGGTAAATCTTGGGAATCAAATCTTGCTTTCTTCAAACTAAGAAAGCTACTTCCATAAAGTACTCAAGAAATATCTGATTAATTGAAATACCAAGTTTTGCACGAAGTCTGGTTGGTGTTGGGAAGCAGTACTCAGAAGAGGGAGCGCCGCTGGGCAGCTCCAACAAGCCTGGTGGAAGAGGTTGAAACCCCTGGACCTGGCCCAGGGAACAGAGAAATGAGCCAATGAGTGCAGTTTTCAGCCAATGAATGCAGGTTTCAGCGGGGTCAGTTCAATCCTGCTGTACTGATCCCCTAGCCCGGGTAAGCAGGGGAAGGACCGCACGGCTTCGCAAGGAAGGAGAGGGGAGGAAATGCGCCATTCTGCCGGGGAACACGCCCTGCGGAGCGCGGCCCTGCGCACCCCAGAGCACGTCATTTCACGCTCCGGGACCAGGCTACCGACATCTCACTTCACCTCGCAGCCACGTCATCACCCAGAGTCCCGCAGGGAATGCAGCGGGCGCCTCCATCCTGCCCCGCAGGAGGTCGGATCAAGGTCAAGGATACCGGATAGTTCGGGGCGGAGCCAGGGATAGTTCGAAACACCCCCATTTCGATTCCACCCTCACCTCACTGCGCCTCGCATCCCTCCTTCCTTGTCTGCCCTTCCTTCAACACCTCCCTCCCTCGGCCGCCGCTCTCACCACGCCCGACCCGTGGTCCTCACCTTGGGTGCCAGCCGGCTCGCAGCGGCCCCACAAGGCGCAAGGACCACAGAGCGCCTGCGCGAAGTGCCCTCGGAAACTACGACTCCCAGAAGGCCGCGGGCGCAGCGGAAACCCTGAGGCCCAGCCCCTTCTCGGAGGTCCCGCCCCCTGAGGTACCAATCCGGTTCTTGAATGCGTCGTTCAAAAGGTGGTAGCGATCGCTTCTCGGCCTTTTGGCTAAGATCAAGTGCAAAAGGGCTAGGAGACGTTTGTAGTAAGGAGGAAGGGAGGGCAGCCCGGGTGGCCCAGAGGTTTAGCGCCGCCTCCGGCCCAGGGTGTGATCCTGGAGACCCGGGGTCGAGTCCCACGTCGGAGTCCCTGCGTGGAGCTCTGCCTGTGCCTCTCGGGAATAAGTCGATTAAGGAATTTTTTTTTCTTTTTTTAAATGAAGGGAAGCAGAGGAGTGAAGAACCAAAGCTGTCTCCTGGGCCTATTCACCTGCCCTAGGCCGACTCCCTACTGCGGGTCCCTCTCTTCTTAGGCAGCTTTCTATCTAGTTCAGCCTGTGCTCCTCAGGCATCTGCTACTTCATCTTCTCCCTCACTTACCGTATTTGCCCGTAATTAGGTATACAAATTTGCCTTTTTAAAAAAATGTCCATTCTACTGCCCTTTCCAATTATAACAATAAACAAGGGCTACACTTGGGCTTTGCAATTATATCAGTTAATATTTCTTCATGCCTGACACCATAGTCACGGGGAGTTTGATGACGGCATAGAGGTCAACCTGTTTCTCCTGGGGGAGCTTTTTTGGAGGATATTTGGACTACCTTCCGAGTCGCAGTGTCTTGGGCCATCAGAATGTAGATGCCACCTTTTTGTGTGTGTGTGACTGTGGGCGCCTTTCAGCACTGCTTTATTAGCCTCAGCCTCCAAAAGCCTTTGCTTTGGCTTCTGCTTCAGGAGGAGCAAAGTTTTCCTCCTTTGCCTTCCATGTAGTCTTCGTGAAAAGGCTAATGACCTCTTGACCACTTGGCGACATTGAATGGTTTTTATTCTATTTCTTCAAAGTCTTTCCTTTGACCCTGTTCTCACCTAATGTTTCTCTTACCTCCCTGTCTTCTATTCATTCTCCTTTTATGGGCTCTTCCTCTCTTCATTCCTGTTAAATCTCAGTGTTCTTCAAGGACCTATCCTAGATCCTAGTCTCTTCCTACACACACCTTCATAAGCTATTTCCCACCACTCCTATGGTTTCAGATATCATCCATATATCTGAGATCACTCTTCAGCTTCAGTCTGCCTACAGAACATTCTGGATATTTCAGATATGTATGTCTGGATATTTCACAAGCATTTCAAGCTCAATTTCAAATGAGCTCACTCTCTACCCTCATACCAAACACCTTGGGTGCACTACCTTATATTCTCTTGGCCTAAATTTTACCTCAGCCATCTTTTGCACAAACGTAATCAGATAAGCCCTTGCTTCAGTTGTACCCCATACTTGTCACTTTCCTCCCTAGTGTTAGTCTTTGATTACGCCACAGGGAATGACTACAGAAACCCTTGGTGTTCATGCAGCAACACTTAACCAACGGGGGATGGGAGCCAGTAGACAAATGCTCCCCACTTCAAAGCAGACAATTCTGATGCTTATTCAACAAGACTCCCCAGGTCCCAGTGGGATTGAGCCTCAGTTGCCCAAGGCAGTGACCAACTTGATTACATATTGTTTCTTGGCTTTTACTCCTTCTCTTTTTAACAGATACTGTCATTAGTGTAATGAGTAACTTCAGTATTTTAATTATTTAAATCTTGCTTTATCAAATTATGGTATAATGCAAACAAAATAAATATCTCAGTGGCAGACCAATAAAAGTAAATTGCTAGTATGTTCAGTGAAGTTAAATTTACACTGCTATGGGTGGATCAACTTAATGGGTATAGAAAAGAGGGGATCCCTGGGTGGCGCAGCGGTTTGGCGCCTGCCTTTGGCCCGGGGCGCGATCCTGGAGACCCGGGATCGAATCCCACGTCGGGCTCCCGGTGCGTGGAGCCTGCTTCTCCCTCTGCCTGTGTCTCTGCCTCTCTCTCTCACACTGTGTACCTATCATAAATAAATAAAAATTAAAAAAGAAAAAAAAAAAAGAAAAGAATGTGTTAACTAGATCAGTGGCTACATATCAAAGAGCACTTTATAGCTATCTTCCAAAATAGAAACAAGGCAAAGCACAGAACTAGCCACAGTGACTTCACTACATTAGGTCTTCTGTAATATCAGAGATAGTTAACTTCTAGTATCTAGCTTTTTTTTTTTTTTTTTAGTATCTAGCTTTTTGACTAGCAAATCAAGGAACTGGAAAGGAAATGGTGGGATGAATCACTCCCAGGTCCTCCAACTTTATCATCATGGCTATAATTTTCCTCACTGTTTTATATTGACAATTTTGGAGTGGTGGGGGAGCTCCAGTGATTTCTACTGGGTACGTCTATTGCCAGCACCCATTCATGCTTTGCCATTCTAATAGAACATCCCCCTCCCTCCAGATCATAATGGATTCTAATATCCTGCTGAGAAAAAGGTGAAATGATCACACAAAGTATCTTATTTTTCACTAACTGGCAAACCTAGGTATTTCCTCCTCCATATCCGGATTGGGTTGTTAGAGGTTCCTAAGTAAAATCTCTTCCCCAATTGAGATAACAAAAGATCCAACTCGGAACAAAGGAGTCAGGTACACTGAGATCAAAGCAGCTGTTTTGAGATCTGTTAAAAATGTGTCTGAGGGATGGTAACAAGAGACTTCCAGGACTTGGATCCCACTTGACCTACTGAAAGCAGAAGACTGCCTTCTACAGGTGCAGCGTGCTTGCCACATGGACAGAAGCAAGCATTCCTCCAACATCTCCAATGATCAGAATAACCCCTTTATCTTTTCCCTCTAAAATCTCCTGATGGCTATCCAAATCTGTGTTTGATTCAGTATCCTCTGGCCACAGGTGGCTACTGAGCACTTGAAATGTGGCTAGTCTGAATTTGAGATATGCTCTAAATACAAAGTGGTTGAAGATTTAGTTTTTTAAAAAAGGATGTAGGGGGGTGTCTGGATGGCTCAGTGGTTGAGCATCTGCCTTTGGCTGGTCTCGATCCTGGGGTCCTGGATTGAGTCCCACATTGGGCTCCCCACAGGGAGCCTGCTTCTTGCTCTGCCTATGTCTCTGCCTGTGTGTTTCTCATGAATAAATAAAATTTAAAAAAATTAAAAAGGATGTTTCAATAATTTAAATATTGATTACATGTAGAAATAACATGGAGTGAAAATTTTAAATATTTGAATTAAATTCAAATATTTATTGAATGAAATATTAAAACTAATTCCACCAGTTTCATTTTCAATTTTAAAAATATGGCATACTTTACTTCCAGTTTGACCAATTCCTGATTCCAAGATTTGATACTACTAATGATCATTTGGTGAAGCTAAAATCTCAAAATTCAAGTTCTCTGTTACTGCTAAAATCTCAAAATTCAAGTTCTCTGGTACTGTATGCCCTATTGAAAGATATCAGTTAAAATGTAAAATGGCCCTTCCCTTAGAATTTTTAGTAAGAGGTGGAACAGTACTTCACATTTTAAAAAAGTGCTTTGTAGATCACCAAATTTAAAAAGGGAACAAAGGGAAACTACAGAATTTATGTCCCCATTCTGTTTCATTTATCACCATGCTCCAAAGTCCATCAGTATTCTGAATTTGTTCTAGTCTCCTGGTGCTGACAATGGCAAAATAGCTTAGGGCAATACTTGATCCTCAATTTACCTTTAAAAAGGGAATAAATTAAAGATTCAGAACTCTCAGAATCACCAGTCAAAAGTTTGTCATAGTCCCTTTTATTTCCTACTTAACTTATTAAATAAGACCAGATATTATCCACTCAGATAGATTCTGCACTTTCTGAAGTGTTTTTCCTCAAGTTGCTTCAAGAGTCCACATGTGAAAAGTCTTCCCTGCCACTCATCTGCTTTAAGAAAAGTCGTTAGTAGGCTGGAGAGAGGTCTGTTTGGCAATCCAGCTCCTTGAATCTGACTCTTAACTCCCAGGAGAAATGCATCTTGGTCCACTGGGATTCATGCAGGGTGAGCTAAGTTCCAGACAGTCTTTCAGAATCAAGTCCTCTTCCAGGCTTCACCTCAAGCAACTAGGTAGGGAATGCAGATGCCTAGAGTCAAAGCTGCCTAGTGCCTGACCTTTAATAAAATAAAAACATAGGGCTGGGCCCAGGGTATAGAAGAGGTTTGAAGGTCAGAACTTAAAAGTTCAATGAGGTGGAATCACATCAAGGCAGACCTGAAATATTCAAAGAAGCTTTCATTAAATAGGGAGCTATTTTAGGTCTTGGGTAAGGCAATGATGAGCAGGAAGGGATTATTTAGAAAGACTGGTCTAACAGTAATGTGCAAAATGTTAGTAATGTGCAAAATGTAATTTGTGACAGTTGTTGATGTTAACCAAATATTGCTTGTTTGCTTTCCTAGCCTCTGGTGCTGGGTTCTGGTTTGTGAGATGTGGACAGACATGATGGCCCTTAAAAATATCCTAAAATATCTTATAGCTTTCTCTTTCATGATAACCTTAGAGGCAACATGTTCTAAATAAGGATGGAGTGCGATAGATTGACTCACATCAGATTTTATGAGAGACATGAATCTTCAGTTGGGGGGTTACTTATTATGGCACCGTAGCTTAGCATACCCCTGTTCAATAATGAAGAGGGAAGAATTCCAATTAGGAAATGACTATCACCAGCAGCCCGGTGGCTCAGTGGTTTAGCACCGCCTTCAGCCCAGGGCCTGATCCTGGAGACCTGGGATCGAGTCCCACATCTGGCTCCCTGCATGGAGCCTGCTCCTCCCTCTGCCTGTGTCTCTGACTCTCTCTCTCTGTGTCTCTCATGAATAAATAAAATCTTAAAAAAAAAAAAAAAGGAAATGACTGTCACAGTAATGGGAGCCTGAGAGGATAAAGGTGTAGGCTAGACTGCAAATTCAGAGAAAGGATATACATCTAAGAGGTGTTTTATTTAAAGAGAGCTTGTTAAGTAGAAAAGTCATGAATGCAGATAAATATTTATTGAGCACCTATTATGTGCAAGGCACTGTGTGAGCTACAAAGACACATAAGTCATGCCTCCGAGTTCTTACAATCTAGTTGAGGAGATCATACATGTACATAAATTATTAAACAAATCATACAGCATAAAGGTTAAGAGAAAAGACTTTGAAGGTAGACTTGTATTCAAGGATTGGCTTCACCTTTTACTAGCTGTGTCACTTTGGGCAAATTATTTAACACATCTAAACTTCAGTTTGCTCGTCTGTAAAACAAGGATGATAACAGTACATACTTCTACTTCATAGGGTTGGTGAGAGAACCAAACAGTCTATTCTTTGCCAAACTCTCTGCTGAGTGCTTACCCCATAATAAGCGCTCAATAAGTGCCAGTTATCTAGTAGTAGTAGTAGTAGTAGGGACCTAAAAGATGGGACACAAAGAACAAGGTTGGTGCCCAAAAAAGCCCCTGGAAAAAGGGATGCAGCTATAAAAAGAACTTTTCTGGAAACAATAGTGCTGCTCTAATTTTGCCTTCCCTCCTCTTCGAGCCTCCAGTTATTAAAGTGCAATGGTACCTTGGGCCTCAGACAAGAGGCATGTCTGAGGATCACCTCCTAATGTTTATCTTGTTGTCTGACAAACTTCTGCAAAGTGTCGACCCCTCAGAGTCACATTCTAATTTCTGGCATCCCACATCAGTTCTATAACATGGTAGGTGGAGAACGTTTATTGACATTGTGGTAGCAGAGATGCAAAAGGAGAGTAGAAGCCAGAATAGGAAGAATGCTCACATGATGGATTTACTTATGATGGGGAAGACCTATCTTGAGTTTCTATGGAGGTCCTTTGACTAAAGGTTTCGCCCCACTCAGTCTATTCCTTGTTTGGCATAACGCCGTTGATGTTGAATAACGGATGATTTAGAACTGAACACTTTCCCACACACGCTGCATTCAAAGGGTTTCTCTCCCGTATGCACTCTCTGATGTCGTGTAAGCCGGCATCTCTGGCTAAAGGCTTTTCCACATTCGGTGCACTCATATGGCTTGTCTCCAGTGTGAATCTTCTGATGCTGTGTAAGGGATGAGCGGTCAAAGAAAGCTTTCCCACACTCACTGCACTGATAGCGAGGCTCTCCAGTGTGAGCTTTCTGATGCCTATTCAGTGATGAGACACCATAGAAGGCTTTCCCACACTCATTACATTCATAAGGCTTCCTGCCAGTGTGGATGAGCTGATGGCGAGTAAGAATACTTTTCTGGCTAAAGGCTTTCCCACACTGATTACATTCGTAAGGGCTTTCCCCAGTGTGGATTCTCTGGTGTCGAGTAAGGGACGAACGGTCAAAGAAGGCTTTTCCACATTCACTGCATTTAAAGGGCTTCTCTCCGGTATGAATTCGCTGATGGACAGTTAGGGACGACCGGTCGAAAAAAGCCTTCCCACATGCGTTGCATTCATAGGGGCTCTCCCCAGTGTGTGACATCAGATGTCTACTGAGACTGCTCCTGTGACTGAAGGCTTTCCCACACTCATGACAGTCATAGGGCTTCTCACCTGTGTGAGTCCTCTGGTGGCGGATAAGGGATGAGTGGTCAAAAAAGGTCTTCCCACAGTTGCTGCATTCCTGGTCTCTCCCTTTAGTAAGACTTTTCTTGAGAGGGGTGGACTCTTGTTGCAAGTTTTCCTTCTGGGAAAGGGACTTCTTGCAAGTCGGCACTGCAGAGCTCTCCTTCCTTGCTTCCGACTCACTCTCTAGTGCATGAACTTCAAATTTAGGGCACACAGGAACTTCTACTTCAAGCTTCCCCCTCACTGTGCCTTCTGATTTTTCTTTATCTGAACTACCGTGAATCTCAGGCTTAGTCTCCCAGTCTGGAACGGACAGAAAATATAGATGTAGTTTCTCTCCTGGGCTAGAAAATACTACAGCAGAAAGAAGACATGTTACAATAAATCTGAAAAGTAGTGCATGGTGACTGCCCCGCTTGCTCCCACAGGTGGTTATACATGCTGGGAACAGTCTAGAATAGAGCTGATAGTGGACAGCTCAGAAGAGAGAAGACTTTCCATTGAAAGTATGGCCAGGATAATTAGAAGCATATGCTAAGTGTTGGGGGTGATAGTGGGGAAGAGGAATATCAAAGTGTGAATGGGCAACATGAGAGATCTTTTTTTTTCTTTTTTTGCAACATGACATATCAGAGAGAATAATAAACATTTGGTGGATAAAGATGAGTAACACTTTCAGGTATGGAGAAAAAAAAAGGAAAGCTGGTGGGTGACAGAGAATAAACTCTAGAGCAGAAGATGTGAGTGTGAAAAAAAAATAGTACCCAATCCTTCCTCCCACACACCCAAATGACAACCACAAAACAAAACTCTGCCCTGCCTTGTTCACACAAAATTACCTGGAGAGATATTCTCTGGACATTCTCTCTCCTCGGATCCATGAAGATCAACTATCTGAGGCTCATACCCTCTCTTCAACTGAAAAATGACTTCAGGATGAGGAACTGGAAGTCCTGCTCAGGGAGAAAGAAACAAGCCAGGTATGGGATGAAAATACTCAACTATCCCAAAGTTTAAACCCAGCCTCTACATTTTTCTGAGAGAAAATGGAAAGGTAGAGGGCGCACACCAGGAGCGCAGAGTACAAAGTAATGCAAAAGAATGCAGGGAGCTCAGAATGGAGATGAAGACTGAGGCTCTAAAAAGGAACAAGTAGCACTTGGTCAGAACATTGATAAAATCATATGAATTAATGTGTTTATCCTCCCCACTGAAGAGAATGGGATGTCCTGGCTTTAGCACTGGTGGAATAGGGGGAAAGAATCCTTGGCTCAGGGAAGTAAGAGTGAAAACAGATCATCTTGAGTAAAAATGTATAATTTTATTTGTTGGTTTACCCTTCAATATTAAGCTTTTATTTAAACAAGTAGGTCATGTTCATTGTAGGAAAATTAAAGGTAAGTAGAAATAAAAAGAAAAATCACCTTTTGTACTTTGTATGCATTTTTTCTATTAATTTTGAAACTGAAAAATATCTATACATACATTCTGTTAAAATCTGGGCTATAAAATAATGCTGATGTGTAAACTTGATTTTTTTCACATAATAATAAACAGAAAATATTTTTTATTTCAATTAGTACAGATCTACCTCACCACTTTAATGGCTACATGATGTTAATTGTATGGAATAATCTTAATTTAATCTCCTGCTGACAGACATTCAGACTGTTTTTACTTGTTTTTGCTATTAACAAACAATCATGTGATGAACACTTTTGTATATCAGGGGTTGCTAATCCTATGATTTCCTTGAGACAAATTTCTACAGTGAATCTATCCATATTTGATTGTTTAAAGAAATAGAACCCATCCTAGAAGTAGTGTAAAAGAAGCAGCAGGTTACAGTCAAAGGAATCACACTATAGATTTTATACCAAGCAGGTCAAGAATTTAAATAGGCCAAATTGGAAAAACAGTATAGAATGTTCAGGGAGCATTAAGGGAGATTGCTGAGCCTTTGTCACAGGCTTTGGTGGGATGAAATATTGGGGAAAATAGAATTCCTAGAATCAGAAACAAGAAGCCACAGGGAGGCAATGCATGTGGCTGATTTGTCAGCAGATAATCAGCATACAACCAGACAGGTGATCCTTGGGCCCAATTAGAAAATATTTCTCTTTCCCAAATATTCAAAATCAAACACATTTCTAGTGACCAACTCTCAGTTATAGCCCTGTATTTCTATACCCATACAGCCCTCTTTTTAAAGGGAAGTATTTCTCCCTCCCTGCTTCTCTGAGGAGAAATTTTCTCTAACAAGATGGTACCCTTAGTCCTCTGGCTGCTGCTGAGTAAGTTACCTGACTGATGAGCTAGGGGAGGAACTGGGCATATGTAACTCAGTTTCTAATGTCTGCCCTCCCCCCTCTCACTCTGGAGGAAGGACAAACTATATTGTAGGGACAGGCTGCTGAGCAAGAAAGGCCACGGTTGTACAATCTGCCTATGGCTCAGGAAGCAAGTCTGTCCAATGCTGGGGTTCAGGATTGAGAAGCCCACAGTTGTTGTACACCTAAGCCATATCCTTCTACTCTTCCTTTTTTAAAAAAAAAAAATATTTATTCATGAGAGACACAGAGAGAGAGTCAGAGACATAGGCAGAGGGAGAAGCAGGTTCCCTGTGTATCAAGGTCCTGGGATCAAGTCCTGATGTAGGACCAGGACCCTGGGATCATGCCCTGACCCAAAGGCAGATGCTCAATCACTGAGCCACCCAGGCGTCCCTCCTTCTACTCTTCTATCTTGTCTTCCAGTGCTTCAGAACTCAGGTGGGAAAAGAGGTATCCTTTATTGGCCCCTCAACCTCCCCCCCGCAACACAATACAGAGTCTAACTTCTTATGGAAAACTCTCCTTACCCAATGAGACAATGCTCTTATAGTTTTCCAGCATCACCTCCTTGTAGAGGTCCCTCTGAATAGGGACCAGATGCCTCCACTCTTCATCTGTAAAAATCACGGCCACATCCTCGAATGTCACTGATTCCTGGAAACACAATCACATTGCCCCTTGCTCATACCCCTTCTCTTTACATGGACCAGATAAAACAGTCCTAAAGATGACAGCCCTGAGGTTGTGGAGAGAGGGTTTTGAAATAGAGCTTTGAAGCACTGGGGGAAAGTGGCATAATTCTCTGAGGCATGAAGTTCTTGGCATTAACTCTTCTAGTCACAGCTGAGCCTGTGAGTTTCAGGGGCTCTTCTTCATACTTACAGAAAATTTGCAAGAATGGAACAAAGAATGCCTATGTACCCTTCATTCAGCTTCCCCAAATGTTAACATTTTCCACATTTGCTTCTATCTGAACAAGGATATTCTCTTGTATAATCACAGTATAATTATAAAAGTCAAGAAACTAGCACTGATATTATACTGTAATCTATAACCTTATTCAAATTCCACCAATTATCTGGGTTTGTTTTTTTTTTTTTTTTTACAAATCCTTAAAATGATGGTATTGATGAGATTGTTATGATCCCCTCATTTCATGCTAATGCTTTGTGACTGTATAAGATTGCATCTTTTCCCAATCCTAAAACTCCAGATGAATCTCCAGTGTGCTTGTTGAAGTTCTAAGCCAGAGCATAGAATTCAAGACTCTGTGTCCCTGGGCAAGAATGAGGCAAGCCACATGTCTCCACCCACATTCATTTCTCTTCAGGACTCTACTATTTCACTGAGGTGCTCTATAGCAAGTGTCCTATTCTCCAGCCTAACCCAACAGTTCCTGGAATACTTGGGGTCTGCTCTCAGATGGATGCACTGAAGGGAAGTCAGGACTAGAACTGTTCCCTAAGCCATCCGAGCCCACCTGTACCACCATTTTTTAGGCAAAATCTCTCAGAGCAAAGGCCACAGTAGCTGTGTGCCTGGTGACAAGGTGATGGGCACACATTCAAGGCAAGAAAAGGTCACTGAAGGATTCCACAAATCAAATGGGAAAGACACATTCTCTATGGAGTCCTTCATTCACCTGGTTAGGTTTGATTGAAGAAACTCCAGCATAAAGAGAGAAAAGTGGTTATATTCTGGAGACTAACAGAGTATTTCAGAAACACAAAGTCTACCTCACCTGGCATCTGGCAGTTGGAGACACAGCAGCCATTCCCTCCTATGTGCTCTCCTTGTAGAAAAGGGCAGAGTCCTAATGAGGAAGAGGTGTGGGATGAGAATGACGGTATGAGAAAGACCAGTCTTGGTTTGTAGTTTTCTGAACCATAAAACAAGAAATCTCCAAATATGTGAGTTATATACTCATTCTTTCTTAATACCCTACAAAAAGGGAAGGCAAAGCAAAGCAAGCGCGGGAGCAACCCCAACCCAACCCACAACTGGAGTGAAAGGCCACAGATACTGCTATTCAGGACACAGTAGGGTCCTGAATAGCATGTTTTACCATGATCCCAGAGGAAAAGTTCTGTTCCTGGGAATCAAGAACATATTAAGCTTATTCTGATTTATGAACTCACATTCAATATTGCCCTGATGGTTACCAGATGAAAAACCTAAGAAATTTTACAAATGACTAAATGGATAAGACATGTCAAGTAAATACCCATAGCCTCTTTAAAGAAAAAATACCCCATTTGCAATCCTGTACTAACAGAGAAGCTACGTTTTTTTCCACATGATGCTGTGTCTCCTCCCGGAGCCACACTAACTTAGGCCACAGGAAGGCAATGCACAGGCTGGCCAGTAGACTGAAATGTGATCTAGCTTGAGAAGGTGAATGTGAACTAAGAAATGTCGGTACAACAGGTGGGTGATGAGTGGAAAAGATATTATGATGGAGGATCCTCTATGAGGATCAGGGGAGCCAAAGGAAACAAAACCTATGAACATGTGGGAGGCATGACACAGACTAGTCACAGGCAGGGGGAAGAAGAGCCTGGTCACATTAGTAGTGAAGCACTAGAGCAAAGCCCTAAGAGTTTTTAGTGGCATTGAGTCCTTTAATTCATGCAGTACCACCCTGAGCTCCAATCTGCATTTAGACTAGCCTTATTTATTCTTTGATTTCCATTAACACTCTAACGCTCTTAGGCTTTGTGTGAATCCTATCATTAAACCTCCTTTACTCAACTGAGTTAGCTGAGTAGGTCTCAGTTTCCCACAGTCAAGAGTCTATTTAAACACAGTTAAATCAAGCATTTCTGGGATTCATGAATGGGAAGGGAAATGTGGTTCCAGGAAGAATAAGGAAAAGAGGTGGCTCACTGATTACTCTCCTGCAGTCAAGGGGGATATATTTATTCAACTATCCAACTAACATTTTTTTAGCACCAATGATTTATAACAAACACAAAAACCATAGGACACTGTCCTTGCCCTCCAAAAGCTTATAGCTTAGAACACAGGAAAAACAGGTAACCCAAATAACATGTCACGTGATACGTACCATAAAGAGATACCCGCAACAGACTATGAGAGCCCATCAGAGGCTTGCTCACCCAGATAGGAGGTTGTAAGTTTCTTGGAGGAAGTGGGATGTAAGGTAAGTTTTTAATTTTTTTAAAGATTTTATTTATTTATTTATGAGAGACACACAGAGAGACGCAGAGACATAGGCAGAGGGAGAAGCAGGCTCCCTGCAGAGTGGGACTCAATCCCAGGACCCCGGGGTCATGACCCGAGCCAAAGGCAGATGCTCAACTGCTGAGCTACCTAGTTGTCCCTGTAAGGTAAGTTTTGATTTGGGGGAGGAGGTGGAACATTCTAGGCAGGAAAAATGCACCAAGTTTTTCAAAAACGAGGAGGCAGGTCGTTACATGGAAAAGATTAACAACTGTAACTAGTTTAGAATGGCAGAGGTCTAGACTGTGAGCAGTGCTGTGGGGAAGTAGACAGAGACCAGCTAGATCAAAGACAGCTTTGTATGGTCCCATACACGGAAGAGGGACCACAGGCATGGAAATCACTGAGGGATTTAAATATGGAAGTGTTATCATCAGATTTGTGTTTTAGAAAGATCACTGCAATCTGTATAAAGGGGCTTGGAACACACATATTCTTTGGCTCAGTAAATTTCTACTAGGAATTTGTCCTAAGGAAATAAGTGAGGATATATATATATCCATCCTTAGTCATCATTAACACTAACCTTTATTGAGTGCTACATTTACATTTATTATCTTACTAATTATTACAGTACAGGAAAAATGTGAAATATCCTAAGTTTCTAGAACAGGAGATATGAGTAAATAATTTGTGGCCTAGCCCATACATGCACTGTAATACCATTTAACATCATGTTAATGATAACTAGCATTTATTGAGCATTTGCTATTTACCAGGCACTGCGCTAAGCACTTTTTAAAAAAAAAAAATTATTTATTTAAGAAAGAGAGCACACAAGCAGGCAGAGGAAGAGGGACAAGCAGACTCCCCGCTGAGCAGGGAGCCCTACTTGGGGCTCGATCCCACGACTCAGATCATGACCTGAGCCAAAATCAAGAGTGAAATGCTTAATCAACTAAGCTACCCAGACACACGAACTAAGCACTCTTTTAAAGGATAATTTAATTCCACCTTCATAAATCAATAAGGTAGGTAGGTACTATCTTACAGATTAGGAAAATTAAGGCTTTTTAAGAAGTTGAGGTAGAATTTGAACCCAGGTCTGTCAATCAGTTTTTAACCTCTATGCTATAATGCGATTTTTATTTTCATAAGAAAATAGCCACACAGATAACAGACCAATAGACTAGACTAAAAAAATCCCCAAACAGGGATCCCTGGGTGGCGCAGCGGTTTGGCGCCTGCCTTTGGCCCAGGGCACGATCCTGGAGACCCAGGATCGAATCCCACATCGGGCTCCCAGTGCATGGAGCCTGCTTCTCCCTCTGCCTATGTCTCTGCGCCTCTCTCTCTCTCTCTCTCTCTGTGACTATCATAAATAAATAAAAATTAAAAAAAAAATCCCCAAACATATCCAAGCATGTAGAGAAACCTGATATACAACTGAGCTGGCATTACGAATCACTGAGTAAACAATCACTAGTGATAAACTGCAAATGACTTAAATGTTCATCAGAAGGATAAATTTTTATTCCATGTGTGTGAATATGTGTATTGGAATATTATACATTAAGATGAATGAAGTAGAGCCTTATGTTAATAATAAATCACAAAAATATAATTACTGAGCAAAAATAAGAAAGTTTTAGAATTACTGTGTAATATCTATATAAAACTTAGAAACAGATCAGGGTACCTGTATGGCTCAACTGATTAAGCCCCTGACTCTTGAATTCAGCTCAGGTCATGATCTCAGGGTTGTGAGATCCAGCCCCAAGTCAGGCTCTGTGCTCAGTGGGGAGTCTCCTTGAGATTCTTTCTCTTCCTCTGCCCCTCCCAACCAAGCTCACACCCCTCTCTTTCAAATAAATAAATCTTTAATTTAAAAAACACACACACACACACACACACACAACAACAACAACCTGGGATGCCTGGGTGGCTCAGCAGTTGAGTGTTTGCCTTCAGCTCAGGGCGTGATCCGGGAGTCCCAGGATCAAGTCCCACCACATTGGGCTTCCTGCATGGAGCCTGCTTCTCACTCTATGTCTCTGCCTCTCTCTCTCTCTCTCTCTCTCCCTCTCTCTGTCTCTTATGAATAAATAAATAAAATCTTTTTTAAAAAACCTTAAAAATAGGTAAATAGTATCTGCAAAAATCTGTATGGGACAATAAGCACTAAATTGTGAGTTATCCCAATACGGGATTGGGACAGATAACCAGGAGAGTTCAACTTTGTCTGTGATGTTTTGTTTGCTAAAAATTTTTTTTCTAGGGCAGCCTGGGTGGCTCAGTGGTTTAGCGCTGTCTTCAGCTAAGGGTGTGATCCTGGAGGCCCGGGATGGAGTCCCATGTCGGGCTCCCTGCATGGAGCCTGTTTCTTCCTCTGCCTGTGTCTCTGCCTCTCTCTCTCTGTGTGTCTCTCATGAATAAATAAATAAAATCTTAAAAAAATTTTTTTCTAAACAAATTCACAAATATTAAGTGAAGAATGGACACTTAAAATCACTTATTTATGTATACACATATATATAGAAAAGAGACTGAAAGAATATATACTAAAATATAAGTGGAATTTGAGTGGTGGCATTATAAGTGGTTTTATTTTATTTCTTACAATTCTTTATATCCTGATTTTTGTTTCTATAAGTATGTATTTACTTTACAGGAAAAATAACAGGAAGGAAAGGGGATATAGAAAAATTATAGCAGACTCAAGACTGGTATTCTTAGAAGGGTCAACTTGTGAGATTGACCCTTGGCTAGGGTCTGGGAACTTCAGTTTTGGGAGGGTTATCTAAGAGAGAGGGATGGTCTACTATGCCTGAACTATTTGAGCAAACAATGTGCTTTATGCTGAACACTTGCTTTCCTGCTAGAGGATCTGGAATTTTGGTATTGTTATGCAGAGGCTGCCTACCTGACCAGCCCTCAATTAAAAAAAAAAAATTGGTCTCTGAGTCTCTAATGAGCTTTTGTGAGCTGGAATATCACATGCATGTTGTTGCACTGCTGGAGAAGATGGTTCAGTATGACCCCTCATGGCTGGAAGAGAGAACAAGAAAGCCTCCATAAGGATTCCTCTAGACTCTACCTGTCTCTTCCCCTTATGACCTAGCTGTGCATCCTTGCAAGATCATGGGCATAATCTCAGCCATGAGTGCAACTATAGGCTGAGCTCCATGTCCTTCCCTTAACATGGGGTGATCTTGGGGCCCTCCAACACAGGCAGCCATGCCACTCTGGGTAGCTGTAGCAGAATGGGACTAGAGGAGGGCAAGAATGGAAGTGGGGCAGACCAATGAGAAATCTCATAATTAAAAAAAGAAAAATGATGCAAAACTGAACAGAAGTAGTGCCAGCAGAAATGGACACAAGGGAAACTAGAGTCAAGACAGAAGAAGAGACAACAGACTGGCTGCAAGTGGAGGATGAAGGTAATGAGAAAGGCAAGGAAGACTTCCAGGTCACTCAACTGAACAACAGTGTGCACAATGGTACCATTCTTGGAGATGAGAAAGATAGAAGAAGAAGGTTTGGAAGGAAAGCTAATGAGTACAGTTTGGAATATTTAGAATTTGAGCTCTTCCCTCATCTTTGGATAGGAGAAAATCAAATGACTGTGGTTTCCACTGGCCAAGTTGTAAAAAGTATTACTGCTAAATGAAATAGTTTGAATTCTGAAAGACCATGAGTTCCATACTCAAACTAGAAAAATTAATATATTTAAAAGTGGTAGTACAAAGAGAGCAAGGTTTACTGCCTTTAGTAATATAAATAAGTACTTTGGTTTTTTTCCTCTTAATTGTATGACTATTCACAAAGTATCCTTAGGATATGTACTTGTATAAATTCACCTAAACATGAAAAAAGAAACCTAGAGAATGGGGATAAACCATGTAATCCTAGAATCAGGAACTACAAACCCCAAACAGACACATCAGTACTGGGGTGAGGAAGAAAAAAGAGCATGTGCCCCAATACCGAATCAACCTCAGATTCTAAAGAGGCAAAGTAACCATGCAGACTTAATTCTTCCTCCCTTAGGAGATAGATCCCACTATCTCATCTTATTAGTTATAAGATACTAATAAGGTGCAGTTAAGTTTTCAAAAACACCAAAAGATCAGATCAATACATATTTATGGGACAATGGGTTATTGAACACTGGCCAAGCAGAACTTTAAAAGAATACTACCTTGAGGGTGAATATCAGGTTGCAAAAATGTTTAAAACCTATGCAAAAGGTAAAAGCCTTAAAAAAAAACTTACTGGAAAAAACATGTTTAGTATAACTATAAAATAAAAATTTTGACCTGAGGAGAAATTGAAATTTTAATCCGTTTAGGAAGAGGCAGGGTGATATATACACAAATAGAAACAAATAGATATCATCAGTAGCATGCAAGCTGTGTTAAGACAGTATTCTTTCCTTTGCTTGTCAAGATTCCTCCATTTCCAGGAGGGCCTTAAAACATTACTCTTGGGCCCCAGTTAGATGTCAAAATTAGAATTTAGAGATACAGGAGAGTATAATCATTAGATATACAGACTCTGGCAGACTGCCTGAAATAGAATTCCAGCTCTGCCTCTTACTACCTGCATGATCTTAGGCAAGTTTCTCACCTTTTCTCAGTTTATCTGTAAAATTAGAATAATGAAAGTACCCATCTCATACAGTTACTGTGATTCTTAAATAGAAGACAAATAAAGCATATAAAATAATATGCTACCGGTTAGCATTAGCTTAAAATACTGTTATAATCTTAGGAAGGTAGAAATAATGAAAATATTAATTACAGTGTGTTGTTGCTGTTTTAGAGTAGGTGTAAGTGTAGTAATAACTTTGGAATCAAAGTATTTGAATATGTTGTCTAAAGCATCTGAGCTTTTCAAACAAATCAGTTGAATTACATCTGAAATTGTAGTTGAAACTGCTCAATGTTTAAATCCTTAGACAATTTTCAAAGCTTTATTAGTTTATGACTTCATAAAGTGAGCATTGAACAAATTACAAACAGTGGTGAGCATAAAAGCTCCCCAACCATTAAGTAACCAGTGGATATTCCCAAGGTGCTCATTATCCATGGGCTCCCTGCCAGGCTGACTTCCCTCCCCTGGCAGTCACTTCAGGAGGAGGCTCTGAGTGATACCCAAGGCTCCCCAAATCCACCAAATTCAAATGGAATCACTTATGTTTTATCTTGTCCTAGTCCTAGCTCTCAATAGTATTTCTGGAGGAAAAGTCTTCAAATCTTATTCTAGATCTTCAAATGAGTCCTTGCCTAGAAAGCTTTTACTGTTCCCATCCTTGTTCTGTAGCTGTTCCAAACCTCCATGGCTACCCTCCAATTTGGGCAGAGCACTCACAAGAGTGAGTTCCAAAGGAGACAGGTCTGTGTGGTAAAAAAAAAAAGCATTCCACAGGCATTTAATTATTAACTGTGAAGGCGTGGGCAGATTAGTTAAACTTAAAGTGGACCTCCAGTTGTTTAATACATACTTCACAGAGTAGTTATAAATAGTAAATGAGGCAGTTAATGTAAAGGATTTATCTTATGGTCTGTTTAATAAATGAAAATTGCTTTCCTTTCTACTGCCCAACACCAGCCCACATGCATCCACTCATTCATCGTGTTATTCAACAAATATCTCTAAGTACCCGCTATGTGCAAGGTTAACATGGAGTGTGAGCACAAAGAAACAGAACTGTCTGTCTCCAGGTCTTTCCCTGAGTGTCCTCTGCGTCCTACTTCCTTTTCCACTACTGTTGCCTCTCAGAATCTGCTCCTTGCATAATACAGTCTTTCTTTCTCCACCATCTTCCACCTCACCAGTAGCTTCTTTTCCCACATCTTCCAACATACATGACCCTCATCTATCTGAAACTATCTTCACTGCATCCCACAGCCTGTCTCTAGCAAGTTTTCATTTGAGCTTCTCCTTTTCATGATCAAACTTCTTGGTAACACACACCTATCAATTCCACCTCCTCTTTCTGACTCCATTATTCTGCTTTTGCCACCCCAAAACTGCATCCTCAAAAATTACCAATGCATTTCTATCTCTAATTACAATAGTCCTTTTCTCTTTATTTCTCTGCAGCTTTTGATGGTTCTGACAAGTTCCTGCTTCTCTAAGTGGTTCCTGTAGCTGCTATGATACTGCACCAGCCTGACTTTCTTCCTACCAATAAAACCACATCCCTGTGCCTCTTTTCCCCGGTCTTGTCCTGGAAACTCGGATGCTGTCCAATGCTCAGTCTTTATAACAATGTTCTTCTTGCTTTTCTTCAGACAGTCCATCTACCTGGTGCTCCATTTTCTACCTCTACAGAAATGCTTCCCAGTCTAGTCCCAATACCTGTTCCAAACTCAGCTTGCATTTCCAAGTGACTGCAAATTTTGATTTAGGCATTCTGCTAGCACCTCAAAACATCTTCCCCTATGCAAATCCCCCAATTAACCCCTCTCCCTAGCTGTACATTTCTGTGAGATGTTCTATTATCTTCCCAGATGCCCCAACTCAAACTTTTACCTTACTCTCTTTCCTTCCAAATCTAGTTAGTTACCAGGTCCTTCCGACCTTACTCTGCATTATCATTTTTATCCTTCCCTACCACTGACACCATACTTCAGGTATGAAGGACTAACTTTACATTCCTAGCTGGCTCTCTGCCACTAGTTAGTCCCTTCTTTTCTCTAGTCCTGGATGTGACCTCTAGAATTACTGTCCCCAAATAGTTTTATTCCTGTCAGTCTCCAGATTGGAACTATACAATCCATGCTGCTTATTGTATTTTGTCCTGATCCTCTGTGTCCTCATGCCGGTGTACTTTTCTCCACCCTTGTTGCCCACTACTTTTTGACACTTCAGTTAAAATCAGCTCCCTCTCAAATCTGCCTAATGCTTTGCTACTTATTTCCTGTTTTGTTTTTGTTTTCCTCAAATCCTGCCTCCTCGGGGCACCTGGGTGGCTCAGTGGTTGAGCATCTGCCTTTGGCTCAGGTTGTGATCCCAGGGTCCTAGGACAGAAAATCCCACATCGGCCTCCCCAGAGGGAGCCTGCTTCTCCCTCTCCTTATCTCTGCCTCTGTCTCTCATGAATAAATACATAAAACCTTTTTTAAAAAAATCCTGCCTCCTACATGAAAGGCCCAACCTCATCAAGAGGATGCAACTAAAGAGTGATATTAAAGCATTCGTTTTACCACTTGTTCCTCTGAGCTAAGAAAAGATTGTGCATGATGTTGACAGCTGAAACAGACACATTAGGCATTAAGGTAGCTTTAATTATTGGTTTAATGGATAACCAAATATGTCAAACCAACATCTTAAAAGGACTGCATCTCAGACTCAATTCAGGAATATCCCCCCCCCCTTTTTTTTAAACCACGGATATCTTTAGAGACGTAGTTACTTCTAGAATTAAACTTGTCAATAAGCTAAAACTAAGTAACAACCCTCGGTGTCAACAATGGATTCCAACCAGCTTTAAAGCTGAACTGCCATGGTTAAAATTAAATAAAATGTTCAACGAGGAGGTCTAAAAAATGTTATCTACCCTTAAATGAGGGCCTCGTAAGGACGCCCAAGGGAGGGGCTAAGCGAGACACTCTGAGACGCTTTCTGAGAAAGAGGGAGGGAGACGCAGTGGGCTGTCCCACAGATTTAGTGTCAATTCCACTCATATTTATTAAACACCCATTACGGGGACGAGGACGAGAGGAGCGGAGGAAGAATCTAAACTTCCAATCTGAAAGTTGGGATCTAGCATATAGTGAGTGTATACTGAAAGACCACTCGTAACAGTGCCCACACTCCACGGAACACACGCACACATAGCGGGCGAGCGGCAACTTTCTGTCTGCGCTTCTCGGAGCTGGGACGTGTACACACACACACACACACACACACACACACACACACTCTCACTCTCTCTCCTGCAGGCTGCCTCCGCTCGCGTCCCCCATTCTACAGCACCTCCCCCAAGTTCTCAGTGTCCCCTTCTCTCGGCCGCTGCGCTCACTCCGCCATCTCGAAGACAAACGCCAGCAGCCCTCACCTCCGGCACAGAGTGCTCGGGACCCAGGAAGACGGCGCCTCTTCAGGTCGGGAAACCAATGCGCCTGCGCAAAGGCTCTGACGTCCGCGCTCCCAATGTTTGGCCTTCTCACAGGGACTCCATTCCCCAGAAGTCTAAGCGGTCGGCGCGCTCCAATATGACGTTGAAGTTCTGCGCAAGCGCACGCTCCTGGGAAAGAGTCCGCTTTAGACCTGGTCGGTCGTGGTGTCCCAGTTGCTGTAGCTGGGCGAGGGAACGTTTGATGCCTGGGAGATTTATGGGACCCTGGATGTACCGCCTACGTGTGATGTCACGTCCCCTCCAGGCCTCCGATGGAAGGGCCGTCGGAAGGAAATGTGTCTGACCTATGCGGCCGGTCCCTAGCCTTGGTTTTCACCGCCCGGAAGACCGAGGACGCGTCCCCTGGCGCTTCAAAGAGGCTTGTTTCTGCTTCAGCTTGTACACTTTCGGGGATTTGGTTCTGAAATTTGGGCTGGAGAGACACAGAATTTGGTTTTGAGGACGAGGCTGGGCCTGAGGCACGGTATGCGCACATTTTTGTGCGGGAAGAGGAGCGCCCAGGATACACGTGTGTTCAACTGGACAGACCCCGGACAGTGTGAGCGCACACCAGCCTGTCTTCCTGGTACTGCTGGAAGGGCCCTAGTCGGAGACATCGTAGGGATTCTCATCCTTGGCTGCATGTCGCAATCACCCGAAGAGCTTTGGGCATATTGATACCTGGGGTCCAGTCTGAGGAACGAGAGTTTACAAAGACCTTCAAGTGATTCTAAAGTGCAGCTAAAGCTAAGAACCACTGAGCTAGCGCTTCAGAAAACACTGGAGATTACACGAATATGATAAAATCCTACTTCGGATCTAGTAGTGAAAGTCCACATTTTCCCTGAAAAAAACAAAAAACCTGAAATGCCTACTGTAGATAAAGCATTGTTACAAATACCAGTAAGACAGTTACTGCCCCCAATGAACTCATGGTCCAAAGGAAAAAACAGAATGTAAAAGTATTACAGCACAATGCAGTGTGTTCTATATGTCACCTCTAAGACGCCATGCAAGAACAACCAGGAAGCAATCAACTATGGCTGAGAAAGTTGAAAAAGGCCTGTAACTCCTACACTTGAAAAAGACCAATTATAGGACGCTACTGGCACACTTAAAAAAGGATATGTACTTTATTAAGAAGAAATAAGGGGTACCTGGGTGGTTCAGGTGGTTAAGCTTCCGACTCCTGATTTGGGTTCAGGTCATGATCTCAGGGTTGAGGCCCAAGTTGGGATTCTCTGTGCCTCTGCCTCTGTCCCCCTCCAAATAAATAAACTAAAAATTAAAAAAAGAAGAAGAAAGAGAAGTTCAATCAATGCAGAGAGAATAGTACTGCAAAGATAAAGACTAGAGGATAAAAGTGGGGAGAATTAATAGCAAGATGAGTTGCCAGTGGATATTTAGGGGCTGATAACCATAACTGGGGGCTGGATTAGGGACAGTCTTATACTGTAGTAAGGGTTTGGACCTTCCAGAATAAGGACTTGATTAAAGGTAAGATGTCTGAGACTGATATATTTTTCTTGCTGTTCCTCCTGTGTGGTGTTTTGTTGTTATTAATTTATTTAGCCTGATACCACGAATGGAAATTTGGGGGTCCTCAATGAGTTCCCTCTAGAATTCCCCAACCTTGGTGAAGCCGTAGGCTTTATCTCTTATCTTTGCTCACCCAAGTAGCTGTCAGCGTGGAAACTTAAGTTCTCCAGGGTTTAGCAATGTAAAAGATTTGCTTCCCTGCTCACTTCTCAGAGTTCTAGCTCTCAATTTTTTTTTTAAATCTGCAAATTCCTCACTTCTGTGCTTGATCACCAGTGTGTTTATAAAGGTGTTCTAGAACTTTTCAGCATATTTAGTGTTTTCAATTAGGAGAGTTATTCAAGGTATCCAATCTGTCATGTTGCTGGAAAGTTTAAGAGAATTTATTTTTTTAAATTAATTATTTATTTGATAGAGCCTAAGCAGGGGGAGTAGCAGAGGGAAAGGGAGAAGCAGGCTCTCCACCGAGCAGGGAGCCTGATACAGGGCTCAGTCCTAGGACCCTGACTGAATCACCAAGGTGCTCCAAGAATTTCAAGGGATTGGTGTAAAAGAGCAAGGACATATGGATACCAACTAACCAAGAAACAACATTTACCCACCAAGTCTAGAGTAAAACAGATTTCTGCTAGGCCCACCAGCTGTGAGCTCTGACAAACTTCAGGATGTTATGGCTATCTGCTGCTATGTAACAAACTACTCCAAACTTAGTAGCTTAAAACTTGTGTATCATGCTAATAGATTCTGTGGGTCAGGAATTTGGACAGGGCTCAGCAGCAATGGCTTGCTTCTGCTTCACCATTTTATGATTTCTGGACCCTCAGGAGGACTCAAATAGGCTTCTCTCTCCATTTGTGTCTGGTACCTGAATTGGCAGCCGCGGCTGGGCTCAGTTGGGACCATGGGCCAGAGTTTCTACTTGTAGTTTCTCTTTGTTCTTGGACTACCTCACAGTAGATGGTTTCAGGGTAATCAGGCAGGGTGTATGGCTGCTCAGTGCTCCAAGAGAGTACCTCAGTGAGCAAAATAGAAGCCCCTTCGCCTTTTTTGACCTAGCCTTGAAAATCAGTAGTGTCACTTGTACACTATTGGTTGTACACTATTGGTTGAAGCAGTTACAAGCTTGGCCAGATTCAAAGGAAGACACCATATACCCATGACTGTGTGTCAGAGAATCTGTAACCATTAAAACAAACTTGCCACATAGGATTTCAGCCTTCCCCCTTTTATGGATGTTTCTCTATGAGAAGTAGGGATGGAGTGGAATGAAAAAAAAAAAAATGATGGATTGCTTGTAATTAGGGACTCTGGCTAGTAGCTTTGCAGTGTCCCTATTTCAACCAATACTCCTCTGCCTCACAGTTCTGCTTGCCTGTATTGCCTCCTAAGTTGCTTCTACCAGCAATCTTTGTTCTTCCTAGGCCACCTCTTGCAGTTAGTTGTAAGACTTCTTGGACACCTTTTGGCCTTATTTCTCTAAGCATCTCTTCATAGCTGCTGCTAACTGGTATTCTTTGTTCAGATCTACATCCTTCCAATATCTATCCACCTACCTACCTCTCTCTCACAGAAGAAAGCATCACCCCTTTATGTCATGGGGCCTTTTTAGAGGAGCTACCTTAGAAGAATAGCATGGCCCTTAGTGGTAATTTTTGTCACTCATTCTAAGGGGGAGGAGATGGTTACTCTTCTAGCAAAGAGGTTTGGCTACTTAGTAGTAATATTGTTTATTTACTTCTACTAGCTTTCTTTCCTGGAGTGCATGAGTATCATCAGAAGCTGGGTGATAGGGTGGGAGAGAAATAGGCACAATTTCACACTATACCTGAAAAACACTGCTTCTTTTCATACCCAAGTCTGATTCCAGATTGGAATGGCTTTCTATGTCTACGTTTTTGTTTTTGTAATACTTTTTTTCAAAATGGCCAGCACTGGGCATCTTTAGTCCACCCTCAATGACTGCATATACCTGAGGCTTAATTGTGAACACGTTTCTGTTTTTACCATGGGGCTCCCAACCCAGGAAAGTTGGAGGTTGTGTGATGAGGGATGTCTGAGCACACAGAGGACCTGTAGAAAAATCTGTGCTTCAGTTTTGTCTTACAAAAGGACCTTTCAGGGATGCCTGGGTGGTTCTGGGCGTGGTCTGGGAGTTCTAGGATCAAGTCCCCACATCAGGCTCCCCTCGAGGAGCCTGCTTCTCCCTCTGCCTATGTCTCTGCTTCTCTCTGTGTGTCCCCCATGAGTACATAAATAAAAAAGCTTAAAAAAAAAACAAAAGGACCTTTCACATTTTTGTTTTTTATAATTAGTTCTTAAAATTGGGTAAGCCATCTCCTTCAGGCTAATTTGATTTAGAGATGTTCTTGCTACCTGTTCTTCCTCTGGGTAAACTACAGTTTATCAATATTATTCCTAAACTTTGTTGTTTCCCATTTTTTCTCTCCATCTTCCATGGTAATAGAATTTTAGCTGGGCACATGTTTAAAGTATGTTTCTCTGCAGCTAAATGTGGGCAAGTGTTCTGGTAGTTAGCATGTAAATAGATGTGCTCTATAGTTCCTTAGGACAGCCTTCCTTACAGGACAGCTGGACTCGAGTACAAAGGGATGAACTCTTGATCCCCATAAAAACACAGATCTCAAGGTCTTAATGCTGAGGGATAAAAGCCACTCTCAAAAGGTTACATACTGTATAATGCTATTTATATGACATTCCGGAAAAGGCAAAACTCTAGGGACAGAACAGAGCAGTGGTCACAAGGGTTGGAATGGGAGGAATGTTTGATTGCAAAGGAGCAGCAAAAGGGAATGTTGGGGTAATGCACAAATTTACCAGGTTGCTGGGAACCAGAGCTACTCTGAAAGTAGTTGACATCAAGTGGCACACCAGAGCACTATGGAAGAAGGGATATCCCTGTTAAGCTATTGATTGACTCCCCTGGGTAACAAATGTGTATCGTGACACAGGCCTTGGTTCAAGCTCTGTCCTAAATTTAAGAGGACCAAAATTTCAGATTCTGTAGCAGGCCAATGCCAAATGGCCTGTCAGGGACAGGTGGCACCCCTCAAGTTAATCTGAAGCAGTTCTATTTCTATCTAGTCCTGCTAAGCTACCAATGAGATGAATTTTTTTTTTCTCTCATTTGTCCATCTCTTCACCTTTTTAATTCCAGAGTCCAAAGGAGAACAGAAATTCCTGGGCCAGCCATGGTTTCCTGGCAGACGCCCCCCCCACCACCACCTCCCCCTCCCCCCCGCCAGGTTCAGGAGCTCCCTCCCCACCCCAGAGAAGAGGGCTTGCTGTGCCACTTGCTGTGCCATCCTGGCCATGTGTACCACTATAGTGCCGGCAAAAAGTGACACAGAGATTGAAAGCAAGATGGGAAGATGGGAGGTTTTGCCCTGATTTAATGGGTTGTCCCTGAACCCCTAGATAGGGTCTACAACAAACCACTCTCAGTCCCCACAGGTCCCTTCTCTGGTCGAGGACTGCCACCGGGGAGCCGTTGTTTTAATATTCAGACCGTCTCTACATTTCTTTCAAGTCCTAAACGATACTCATTTCTGGAGCAGGAAGGAGTCCATGGTCCTTTATTCGAGAACTTGGGGCGGTGGGAAAAAGGCGGAGAGGCACGGGACAGCCTGCATAGCAGCGCTTCGTATCTAGCAAAGAGCCGTCAGTATCTCTTGCGCAGCCGGTAAGAATTACGCCCAGGGAGCCTCCTGGAAATCAGGGTAGGGCCCAGGCTTCTTTTTAAAAATTTCCAGTGGCTTCTGGCTGGACAGCCCCAAACCCCGCTACGGAGCCTACGATAGGGGATGCTCCCAGTTCCTAGAGGGGTGGGAGCACAGCAGCTCCCAGGGACGCCGGGACCCAGCGCCCGAAACCCGTCGCTCGGGCTCCAGGGCGCAGGCGCGCTCGCCCCCCTCGCCCCGCCCCGCGCCGCCCCGCCCCGCCCCGCGGGCCCTCCCTTCTCTGACCTCCGCGCCGCGGCGCGTCTGCGCAGGCGCGGGACGGGTGTCGGGTCGGTACCCCAGCCGCCGTGGGCTCTACTCTTTGTGGGCTCCGCGCCTTGGGGCGGGCAGGCCTGCGCTGGGCACGGCGCCCCAGTCCGTGACGGCGTTGGGAGAGCCCCTCCGCCTGCCCGCCTGCAGGGGCTGTGGAGGCCTGGAGCTGCGGGACAGAGTTGCAGGGCCGGTCCTTGCCCCAGGGAGGCTCTCCCCTGAATCCCGGTTGTCTTAGGGCCGCGGAGGAGCACTGGGCACCGAGGTCGCTGGTGGTGTGGTCGTCACTGTGGGTGTGGGTCCGCGTGGGGACTGGGTCCCAGAGCCCGGTCCCGAGGAGACGGGCGGCGGAGCGGAGCCAGCGGGCCCGGGCCCGGCTCGTGAGGGGTCTGAGAGCGCGCCCGAAGGCGGGGAACCGCCCCGCCCGGGCGTCCGGCTTTGGCTGCCCTGCTCTGGTCCCCGCGGGTGGGCTGGACGTCTCCGCGCGCAGTGGGAATGCCCGGTGTCACCCAGCTTGCTCTCTGCTCCCTGAACCGAAGGGCTGAGGCCACAGGACAGAGATTTGGACCTAATGAAAGGACGTCGCCCCTTAGCCCCAGCTATGGACTCCACTGCATCAGGTTTGGCTCTCGAGGGTGCAGAGGGCCAGAAGCCCTTCTGGGGAGTTAGTAGCGGGCCGAGGCGCAGGACGACCCGAGGGAGAGGCCGGGGAATCCACTGATGGGGCAGAGGCTGCAGCCGCCTTCCCTGTGGTATTTCCTGATTTTTCAGGGCCAGGAGCATGAAGTCCCAGTGTCCAGACACTGTGGTAGAGGCCAGTCTTCCATGGCCACGGAAGACTTTCCAAAGGCCAGAGAGCAGGGAGGGTGGGAGAGGAGGCTTGAGGGAGTGGCCCTTGGCCAGAGATCAGATAGCAGCGGGGCCATTTAGAGCCTCGCCATCATTTCCTTTATTGCTTCAATAAGTAGTGAGATTCCTCTAGTTCTGCTAGCTCAGGTGCGTAGGAGATTAGCAGTGTACATGGGGGGGTACCTCCTCTAGCCACCCTTTCATTAGTATTAGGGACCGGGCAAACCAGGTGACCCAGGAGGTTTTAAGCCATTCCTTTGTAAATTTAGAATCTCCTGTCCTTCCTCAAATGGGCATTTTAATTTGATTTTTCATTCTTCACACAGTGTCAAGGTCGCAAGACTGGCCAAAAGAACTGGGCCACATCTTAGAGACTACCACTCCTCATGTATTCCTTTATGCTCTGTGTTCTGTAGACCATCAGCACAGGAATCATCTCGAAACTCTTTAAAGATGAGGACTTTCAGGCCGTACCCTACATCCACTGAATGAGAGTCTGTTTAACAAGATCCTCAGGAATCTGTACACACATTAAAGTTTGAGAAGTGCTGACCTATATTATACTATGTTGCCTGCCACTTCCATGCTTCTGTTTTTGTTAGCTATAATCACTACTCTGGTATGGCTGGGGTTAGTTGTTTGTATTCAGGCTTTAAAAATAGTATGAAACAAAACTCTATCATAGAGGGACTTGCAAAGTGTGCTTGCAGAGACCTACTGGTGCTTGGGAACTCAGGAAGAATTGACCTTTGACCTGGGATCCCAAGGATAAGGGGAAAGGTATAACTTCTTTTCCTTAAAGTCTATATCCCTCTCTGGCTGTGCCTTGGGCCTTGTCTTGTATTCTTAACCTGCCTTACATGGCAGGCTAGATTTAAAGTTCCTTGAAAGTCTTCTCCATGTTTATGTTTTTAAAAGGCCTAGTAGAGGACCTATATGTTGGATGCCCAGTAAACAACTGTCCAATGGAGCAGCCAGACTATAGTGATACTTCAGTTATCTGCAGCCTGCTGTGGCCTTTGGACAGGGGAGTGGAGTGTTGTGTACTTCTCCCTTGTGTGGGATAGCTAGAGGCTGCCCCTCAGCTCCCTTTGACCCAGCTCTGTCCCCAGAACCACGGAGGTGACACATGGACTCTTCAGGGATCTCCAGCTTGGGGAGTCTGGGAGCTGCAAAGGCCATAGGGTTAGCTTTCCTTATGCTCCTTTCGCCTTCCTAGTTCTCCCTTCTCAGGACCCTGCTCTTCCTCCAGAGAGATACCCAGGAGAAAAGGGAACAACCAGTTTATTCCTGAAAGCCAGGCCCCAGGTGAGTTGGGGTTCTCTTCATTTTACCTCAAATTACTGGACTATGGGTGTCTTTGCCTCCTTTTCTCTGGGGCCTCTTTGTTCGCCAGACTGACCCCAATTCCTGCTCTGCAGGAGGCTGAGCTCATCAAGGTGGATGCTGGCCTCCCTGTCCCTTTCCAGAACCCTCTCCCGTCTGCTCAGTATGCAGTCAGAGCCTGTGGTTTATTTCTGTCATGAGCACTGCAGTGAGTACCAAGTAATGTGAGAGATCCTTGGCCTTGAAAATGTGTCACTACCACAGAAAGGGGAGGACTCTGGTGCTCAGGATGCAGCCCCAGTCACAGTAAGGATATCCGTGGTTAATGACGGAGAGGAGTGGCACAGATAGGCCTTTCCTTCAAGGTTTAGTGAAAGGAGAATAACCCTGTGTTGGAGAGGTTGGGGGAAGGCTTATGGAGAAGAGGGGACAAGGAGGTCTGAAGGTATGGATAGGTGGGGAGGCTGTGTCCTTGTTCGAATGTTATCTTCCTGGATTAGTGAGGAAATAGACTTAACTCACTACTTCCTGGCTGGGAGACTCACCTAACTTCTCCATGCATTGTTTTTGCCAACTGTAAAATGAGGATGGTAATCACATTAATGATAGTGATAAAAACAGCAATAGCCATTATGTACTCAGAACCAAATATGTATCAGGAACTACTCTACACAACTTACTTATACTGCCTCATTTCATCTTTCAAACATTCTCATTTTGAAGAGTGGCAACTTAGGCACAGAGAGGTAACCAAGAAAATCAAGGCACAGAGAGATAAAGTAACTTGTTCATGGTTATCTAGCTCATAAGAAAGGCATCCTAGTTTCAGATCCAGGTTGTCTGGCTCTAAGATCTTAACCACTCAATAATGCAATTACCTCATATTGTTGCTGGAGTCTTCCGGCAAATAGTAACTGCTTAGTCCTTGTCAGCTTCAGCTGTGATGGAGGTAGAGGAGGTAATGGTGACTGATTCCGAAGTGGATTCAAATTTGGCTGTAGTAGGCTGGAGAACCAAGTGGAGGGCTGTGGATGCCAGCCTGCGTTGTTTCCTAGCACACAATATGGTAGTTTCATGTATTCTAGCTTAAGGATAGACACTTGAGTTTAATCTTCTAGCCAGTAGGGGAACCCCCACCAATAGGGAATTCTTACAAATAACTAGTAGAGTAATAAATAGAGTTTAAACCTCTTTGGCCTCAATGTAGAGATTCAGAGTTTTATCAGCTTAATTTAGTTATGTGGTAATAACAATGGCCTGTAGATCTCAATGGCTCATAGTAACAAAGGTGTATTTCTTCTTTATGTTATGTATCAGTAGTGGATGAGCTGTGATTGCTCCAACCCTCTTTGCTCTGTGATTAAGGCTGAAAGATCAACCCTGTGCTGGGACATGTTATGTGGCAGGGAAAAGTGCAATGTCAGAACCAGGAAGTGGTTCTGGCTTCTGCCCAGAAGGGGCAGGTGTTGCTTCTGCCCACAACCCTTTGGCTGAAGCAAGTCATGTGGCAAGCCTAACTAACATCATTGAAGTGGGAAGTATAAGCCTCCCACAGTGAGGGGTGCCAGAGGAGGAGCAGTGAATATTTTGAACACAATCAGTCTAATACGGTCTGTTTTCTTACAAATACTCACTTCCCTTCCTCCACACAAATTCTCTCCTCAAGATAACCCAAAACTCCATTTAGTTAACTAGTAGGAGCATCAAGATCAAAGTCCTGGATGGTGTGATGGCCTCACCTTCAGGTCTGGATGTTTCTCCTTTGGATCTGGAGACAATGAGCTTAAAGGACAAATTGCCTCAATCCATATATTCAATGTACAGTGGAACAATGGAGATAGGATAATCATAATAAGCATCCCTATTCAGAATGGGGAAGCATGGGGGGAGCCCAGCAGTCTCAGGTCCTTTACAACTATGAAATTCCACTTGGCAGACTTGGTGAGCCCCACTGATCTCAGGATTGGGAAGTCTTTTGGTTAAGTCCTGGTTCTGCTTCCTAGGTGGAGCTTCTCAGTCCAGTGTTCTCCTTAGCTCTTGGCTCTGCTCCCAAGTTCCTTTTGCAGTATCCTCCTTGGTCAATGAAATGATTTTGGAGAATAATGTCACTTGAGGGCTAAGCAGGTTTTTCATCCTGCCTGAGTAGGTTGATGGCCCAAGAATTTTCTCAAGTCACGGACTTTCAGTGTAACTCTTGAACTGTAATCAGCTTTTAATCTATTTGTTTTCTATCATTTCTATATGTCAACAGTTTAACCCAGAGATCTTTTTTTAATATGCTCCTTTCTTTAGGCTTAATTACGGAGCTTGGGTGTTATCTTGGGACAACCATTCTTTTAGTCACTAAGCAATTTAGTTGCCCTGAAAGGGATTTCTTGGGAGCTATCTGAAATTATTCAGAGATTTAAACAAAAGGTTTGACTACCACACTCATGATTTGGTTCTTCCCTTAGGTTGAATTTTAATAATCTTTTGTCATGCAAAAGCCTTATCTATGTTGCCTTTGACCAATTGGAAACGATAATTGGTTAAATCTCTAACTCTGCAAGTCTTGAAATTTCTGGACACTTTCTTTTGCTTTCCTTTTTTATTTTTGTCAAACTGGTAAACTCTTGAGCTCATTTCTTTTTCTTGTAGTATTTTGTCAAATTCTGCCAATAACAAGCAACTCACACTACTGATGTCCTAGCCTCTTCTTAAACATCACAAGTTCATGCTTATGTTGTCCATCTTTCCAGTTATTGCAGACAACAGTTTTAGCACACATTTCGCCACCAAATCACATGGGCTGCCATCTCACCAATAAGTTTCTTTACTACCCGGCCCTGAAGCCAAAGTCACATGTTCTAGGGTTTTTGTTATGGTGGAACCCTATATTGAGTACCAGTTTTTTAATGAGTCACTTTAGGCTAGTTATGCTGTAATAACAACAGCAAATCCTCAAAGACTTATACCAACAAAGGTTTATATCTTGTCTGCATTACATGTTTTACATTCCATTTGGGAAAGCAGATTATTTGAATACCACTAGGGCAGTGGGGCTGGGAACTCAATCCTGTAGGGAGAGCCAGTGACTGTTTTGAACAAATAGTAGTGAGTTTTCCATATTTTATATTTTGGACAGACTTTTGTGTTAATGTAAAATTTTTTTTTTACTTATCCAATGGAATCAATGCCTAAATGGGATTTGATTTCTAAACATATTTTGGAAAAAGTAAATTTATACTGCCTTCATTTATCTGCATTTTAGGTCAGATATGTGGATTATTATACAGTGTAAGTCAACTGGGACGTGTTCTAATTGCTGTTAGATGATGACAGGATAGTTCTGGCTGGGACCCCCAGAATAGTTGTACCTTATGGGGACATGGGATCCAGGGTCTTACTGTCAGTTTTGCACATTCCGGAACTGAATGAGTAGGAATTAAAAAGTGATTAGGCTTTGGGGGAGAGGATTCATGGTAATCCAACTCACAAAAGACTTAACTGATTTATTATAAGGCCACTTGATATACTTCTGCTGAACTGTGTGCCTGTGCTAGTGGGAGGGGGTGATAAATTATAAATCCCAAATTATTTGATTTGGACTTAGTAAAATTGTCATTAAAATTATAGGTCACATGTTTCAAAAATAGGAGACTGCTGATACTAGTGTATTTGAGAATGCAAAACGGGCCCCTAGGTGGCCCAGTTGGTTAAGTATCAGAGTCTTGGTTTGGGCTCAGGTCATGATCTCAGGGTCGTGGGATTGAGCCTCATGTCAGGCTCCAAGCTCAGTGAGGAGCCTGCTGGAGTTTCTCTGTCCCTCTCCCTCTGCCCCTCCCACACTCAACTCACATGCTCTCACAAATAAGTAGATAATTTTTTTTTTTAAAGAATGAAAAACGTATTAGTCTGTTCCTTCTAGTTGATTCTAATTAAATGCAACTAATTTGAGAGTAAAACCTGTTGAAAATGGATTGCATTTATTTCCCTTACCTAAGCAGAATGTTTCTACAGGCCAGATTCCCTTGAGGTCCTAATTATATTTCTAAGCACCATGATATTGACAAAAGTGGGCATTGGATAGAATACCAAATAGAAAGGACAATACAATTCCTAGAGCAGCTTAAAATATTTTTGAGATGACAAACCCCAAAACGGGGCATTGGGATAGCTAGGAACTCTTGGAATCCCTTGTACATCCTAAGGTTCTACTCAGACACCACCCTCTCTTCTCCTCAGGGCTGTTAGTGCACTCCCTAAGGGTCCAAGGGTGTTTTCTATGTTTCAGGACCTGATGACATTCGAGGATGTAGCTGTGGAATTCACCCAGTGGGAATGGGGGCAGCTGGACCCTGCTCAGAAGGACCTGTACAGTGAAGTGATGCTGGAGAACTTCAAGAACCTGGCCTCTCTGGGTGAGCTCGGCTCCTCCAAAGCCCAAAGTCTGCCCATTAGGCCTGCCATCTTTATTTCATTGGTGTTTAAAAACTTGGAGTTTCTAGGCTTCTTGGCTGAGTTTTGCCCTGGGGTTATGGAATCAGACATTTACACTGTCTTTGGGGTCCTCATACCTAAGAAAGGTCCTGTTCCATATGAAATTGTAATAAGTTTCATGATTCTGCTCCTGATGTTTTACAGTGCCTATTCTTTGGAGACTCTCTACACCTACAGTATTTCTCCCCCAGAAAGACCTAGGGCCAAACCCTTGGCCTTTAACATATGCAGTCATGATCCTTTTCTTTTTCTACCGTCAGGGCTTCCAGTGTCTAAACCATATGTGATCTCCCAGTTGGAGGAAGGGAAAGAGCCCTGTGTGTTAGAGGGAGAAATCTCAACAGGTGAGTGAGTGAGACCTAAGCAGCATCACACATAGTAAGAACCAGCCATGGGCGAGAAGTTGTCCTGAGCCCCTGGGGGTCAGGGGGCTCTCCTTTGAGGTGAGGCCACTTGTTAGGAGCCCTCCACTGCAGTATTTTAAATACTCTTTGGCTTTTGTAATTATATCTGGTGTCAGAAGAAGAGATGTTCATTTTCTTCGCTAGCATTTATGCTTTCTTTGATACCTATCTCTGCCCACCCCTTCTGGGTTCTTGGAGCCACTCAGCATCACTAGATGTCACATGGGCAATGTTCGATGGAATCTAAGGACTGACAGTTGTAAATGGCCAGGCTGTCCTGTATCAGCAGGGTTAAGAGAGTGAAAGACCAAACAGTGCAGCTGAGTGGCCTATATATTAAAGAGTTATAGGCAAGGACAGACAGGTGGATGTCAAGATCAAGGTGAAGACCTTCAAGTTTGATTAAGCTGAGCTTCAACAGAGCTGGTTCCAGGAACAAAGATTACTCCCTGCTGTCTGTTGTCATTTCTTTGAGACCATGCATTCCTAGGTGACTTGAGAGTACTTGACAGGTCTCACCTCTTGGAGCAGAATTCTGGACCCACCTGCCATGTGTAGTTCAAGCACACTGGAGGAAGGTGACAGTCTGTGCTAATGTCTATCTCTGAGGTAGAATCATAGCCCTGGATCACAGGTAAATCTCAGTGCTCAAATCCTGAGAGCACAGGCTGGGCCTCATTTTTTAAGAATTATTTTTATTTTTTTTTTAAGATTCTATTTATTCATTTGAGAGAGAGAGAGAGAGAGAGAGAGAGAGAGAGAGAGAGAGAAACAGACCACAATCAGGGGGAATGGCAAGGGGGGCAAGGTGGGGGGAGGAGGAGTCTCCCCATTGAGCTGGAAGCCCGATGTGGAGCTTGATTCCTAGACCTAGAGATCTCACCTGAGCCCAAGGCAGACACTTAACCATCTGAACCACCCAGGCGCCCCCAGGCTGGGCCTCATTAAAGGAGCCTAGAAGAGAGGACAGAGAGGGAACTTGCTGATCCCTGCTTCATGAATATTTTCTTGATCGTTTTGATCCAGAATGGGAACAAGGGTATGACCTATTGATCTAGTCTTAAGATAAATATGTCTTCTGACAGTGCTCTACAAACATGGCTGTTTCAGAATCTCTCAGGAAGCTTCTTAAACATCCAGATTTCCAGGGGTCACATAAGACCTACTGACTTAGAATCTGGCATCACTAGTCATTTACCTCTTCAGAAGTGTTATTTTTTTAAAAAAGATTTATTTATTCATGAGAGAGAGAAAGAGAGAGGCAGAGACACAGGCAGACGGAGAAGCAGGCCCCATGCAGGGAACCTGACACAGGACTCGATCCTGGGACTCCAGGATCATGCCCTAGGCTGAAGGCAGGCACTAAACTGCTGAGCCACCCAGGCATCCCAGCAGTGTTATTATTGTACTAGTTTTCTGCTGTTGCTGAAACAAACTAATACAATGACTTTAAACAACACAAGTTTATTAACAGTTCATAGGTCAGAAATCTGACATGGATCTCACATGGATCTCACATAAGATGTCAGTAAGAGGTGTTTTCCTTTCTGGAGTGGCTAGGGGAGAATCTGTTTTCTGCTCATTTGAATTGTTGGCAGAAGCAATTTCTTGCAGTTGTGAAACTGAGATCCTTGTTTTCTTGTTGGCTGCAGACTGAGGAATGTTTCCAGCTTCTAGAGACTGCTAACATTCCTTGGCTCATGATGCCCTTCCTCCACCTTCAAAGCCAGAAGTGGTGGGCTGAATCCTTCTCACACCACATCTCTCTGACCCAGCCAGGAAATGTTCTCTGATTTTAAGGATTTATGTAATTAGATTGAGCCCATTGAATAATCCAGGATAATCTCCCCATCTAAAGGTGTGGGCCCTTAATCACATCTGCAAAGTCCCTTTTATCATGTAAGGTAACATATTTACAAGTTCTTGGGATTAGGGCATGGATGTCTTTTGGGGAGAATTATTCTTCCTATCTCAATTATATACAGTAATACAATATATTACTGAGGGGCTGAGGGGACTTTGTGGAGAACATCTTCCTACCATCTTCTCATCTTTATGATCTTTGGATTTACCTTATGTACTGGAATCCAAACACTGTTTTTTCAGATTTTCCTAATCTCCATTCACTTGCTTATCACTTCTTGATAACTTCAAAACCTTCTTTGGACATATACTATTCTTGAAAGAAACTGTGTATGTCTCAGATATTATTTTAAAACTTTATTATCTTACATCCATTATAGGACTTCCTCTGGGCACATGGAATAAGTAATGCTAAAATGTTGGTTTTTTGTGTTTTTTTGTGTGTTTTTTGTTTTTTTCCCCCTCAGACTGGGAGAAAAAGCCTAAAGTCAAGGAATCAGTACTAAATCAGGGAATTTCCAAAGAAGATTTACTCCAGACAGCACCAGTGGAAAAACATATCAGAGATGAACTCTGCTTCTGCCAACTGAAAGCAACCCGTGGTCATGATGACCAATTAGAGATACATCCAAAAGACCAGGAGACCCATCTGAAAGAAATATCAATCACTCACAAATCTACTGCCCTAAGGACTGATCATGAATGGAGTGAACTTGGGAGAAGTTTAGGCTTAAGATCAGTCTTTGCTAATCAACACAGTGTTCTTATAGGAGAAGGATCCTATACATGTGATACAGAATTCAGACAGACTTCAGGGAGAAATAACTCCCCAAGAACCCATCCAGGGAAGAAACCTTGTAAATGTAATGAATGTGGGAAGTCTTTCCATTTCCAATCAGAACTTAGGCGCCATCAGAGATGTCACACTGGAGAAAAGCCCTATGAATGCAGTGAATGTGGAAGAGCCTTTGGTCATATTTCATCCCTTATTAAACATCAGAGAACTCATACTGGAGAAAAGCCCTATGAATGCAGTGAATGTGGGAGAGCCTTCAGCCAGAGTTCATCTCTTGTTCTACATTATAGATTTCATACTGGAGAGAAACCTTACAAATGTAATGAGTGTGGGAGAGCCTTTGGTCATACTTCATCCCTTATTAAACATCAGAGAACTCATACTGGAGAAAAGCCCTATGAATGCAGGGAATGTGGGCGAACGTTCAGCCAGAGCTCATCTCTCATCGTACATTATAGATTTCATACTGGAGAGAAACCTTACCAATGTAATAAATGTGGGAGAGCCTTCAGCCAGAGTTCATCTCTCACTCAACATTATAGATTTCATACTGGAGAGAAACCCTACAAATGTAATGAATGTGGGAGAGCCTTTGCTCATACTGCATCTCTTATTAAACATCAGAAAAGTCATGCTGGAAAAAAAGCCATGTAAATTCAGTGAATGTAGGAAGCTGGAGTGCACACATTACTCACATGACACACACTGGAGGGAGATCTTGTATGTGTGATGTATGTGGGAAGACTTTTGGTTGAAAAACATGTCTTATTCAACATCAGACAGTACATGCTAAAGAGAAGCTCTATTGATGTCAAGAGAGAAGGTGGGCTTTCAGAGAAGCTATATTGGTGAGAAATCAAGTAGATGTGACTGATTTGGAAAGGCTTTTGTCAGGGGACACACATTATTCAACATAAGACAGTTTCTACTGGCAAGAGAAACCTTATCAATGCAATGAGTATGACATAGCCTTCAGTCACATATTATTCAGTAAGTAAATATGTAACTCAAACTGGAGAGAGACTGCAGGTGTGATAAAAGCCATCTGTGATAGTTCTTTAAGCACCAAGTACACATACAAAAGAGAAGCCCTTTGAAAGCAATAAGTGTGGGAAGGCCTTCTAGTAGAGCTCATCTCTTAGTAAACATCAGACAATTTATTCTTGAGAAAAACACTATGGAAATGATGAATGTGGGAGAGACTTCAGCCAAATCTCTTTCCTTTATAAATATCAGTGAACTCACCCTACTAGAAACCCTGGGAATGTATTGCATGTGGAAAAGCCTTTGGCATATGTTCCATTCACTCTGCACATCAGAGAATGTGCACTAGAGTGACTTTCTGAACTTGGTGAAACTGGGAAAACCCACTAGTATAGTTCAGGCTTCAGCATACACTAAGACTTTCCAAAGAGAAACCCTGGGAACTTAACAAATGTGGGGGAAGTTCCTTTCAGACTTGAGATTCATAAAACAAGAGCTGAAAGGAATCTGAGAAATCAACTAATTTGGTGATTTTCTACCTGGTGGAGGCTCTCTATAACTGCACTGTGCTTCACCTCCCCATCCTGTTACTGATGGGAGCAGAGGTGTTATTGTGTGGGTGAAGAGAATGGAGGCTGAACAAGATGGAGAGCCACCAGTGATGTAGCTCCACCCTATTTTAGGGCTAAGAAAACATCTGAAAATACCATGCACTGGGCTGGGCCTCTTTCCTTCTGGTTCACAGCTGTGGTTTTGAGATTGAGAGACTTAAGGTCTTCTGTACAAAACCTCATGCACTAAATGTTACCTCTAAGAGGCAACGGAGTGGTATTTTTAAAGTTGACCAAAAAACAATTTTTATTAAATCTTTATGCTGTGAGATTTGGAATTTTTGAAATAAAATGAAATCTTTTTAAACATTAAAATATATGTAAAAAAATAAAAACTTCAAAAACATTATTCTTAGTTCAAGCCAGACACCATGTATTGCATAGTTCCATTTATAGGAAATGTCCTGAAATGGCAAAATCCTCAGAGGCAAAATAGATTAGTGGTTGCCTGGTGCTGGGAGAAGCAACTGGGAGTAAATGCAGATGTTACAGAGAATCTTACTGGGGTAATGCAAATGTCCTAAAACTGGTTTATGGTGATGGTTGAACAAAATCATTGAATTGTGCACACAAAATGGGTAAAATTTATGGTATGTAAATAACACCTCAGTAAAATTGTTTTCATAAAATATCAAATACACAGATACACCAACTATTGCTAAACTACTTTTCCTATCTTGTCTGTTACTTTAAGCCATCTGTGTGTATTTTCTGTAGTAGTTAACCCTAAGCTTACTGGGTCTCAAGTTCATATCATGTTGCATCTGAAATTTATGAGGAGAAGCCAAGAGTAGGAGCTAGCATAGAGCAGAAGAGTCTTGACTAAAAATATTAGTTTATACTAAAGACAGTCCCTCAAGCATTTTAAATCCATATGAGGAAGCTGAGCCTAGACTTCAGGGAATTGGTTCAAAGTGATCCATGAAGACAGGGAGAATCTAGGGGCCCCACAAGTTGGGTAATGCAGAGGGGTGCAGGCAGATAGGATAAACAGGAGGCATCTGGACAGCTGAAATCAAAATGCCAGTCTGGGAACCTAGAAATCATGGGAATTTCTTCCCAGAAAGCCAAGGTGTACAGGAGAGAAATAGCAAATGTAATTACATTAGTAACAGCTTAGTTGACTTACCTTTTCTCCCAGTGCCCTTTTCTAATCCCAACTTAAGTCACTTTATATACCCGGATACCTGAAACTTTGTAACTGGTCTTTGCTTAACATCTGTCCCTCTTGTTATCTTTTTTTTTTTTTTTTTTTTTAGATTTTATTTATTCATGAGAGACAGGCAGAGGGAGATGCAGGAAGCCTGATGCGGGACTTGATCTCGGGACTCTGGGATCACGCCCTGAGCCAAAGGCAGACACTCAACCGCTGAGCCACCCAGGTGTCCCCCCTCTTGTTATCTTTGCGGTGGTAACTATTCTTATCAGTGTGCACTGACTTCCCCATCTGAAAGTCTTTGTACTGCCCACAAGATAAATTCCCACTCCTCACTTGGGTATTTAATGCCCTCTTCACTCTGCCTTAACCTCCTGTTGCTCCTGACAAGAACCTCTATTACAGATGAACTTGCTTGCCATACCTCAAACATGCCTTCACAGTCCCCTGCCTGTTCCACCAGCCTGGAATGCCCTCTCCACTTCTCTAAAGCCTAATAGGCAGTCAGAACCCTGTTCAAACACCCTCTCATCAGGGAAGAATTCTCATTTTTTTTCTTTAAATATTTTCTTTACCTAAGAGAGAACGCGAGTCAGGGGAGGGGCTGAGGGAGAGGGACAAGTAGACTTGAGACAAGCAGACTCCGTGCTGAGCACAGAAGCAGATGTGGGGCTTGATCCCACAACCCTGGGATCATGACCTCAGCTGAGGGCAGACGCTGAACTGACTGAACCACCCAGATGCCCAGGGAAGAATTCTCTTGAACACTACTGTGAAGTCATTATCTTACTGACTTGCAATTGTAAAAGCACTTATGTTTGCTTAAAGTTTTTAAAAATGAAAGATGTCTTGGGATAGTTTTTATTACTGTCTTGATCTATTTGAATCATTTATCAGCTTGCCACTTTCTTGTCTCCTGAAACTTTAGCTGCTTCAGATAATTTCTCATACTTCCTCTCAAATGAGCACACAGTAGGTGCTTACTAACCATGTATTAAGTTGAAAAATATTGTATTGCCTACATTTACTCACTGCTTCTGACTGAATTCACACTTTAAGATTTATTTATTTATTCACCAGAGACACACAGAGAGAGGCAGGCTCCATGCAGGGAGACGGCATGGGACTCAATCCCAGGTCTCCAGGATCACACCCTGGGCTGAAGGCAGTGCTAAACCGCTGAGCCACCTGGGGTACCCTGAATTCACACTTTAAAACAAAATATCTTACTGTACAGATATATCACATTTAAAAAATATTATTTAAGTAATCTCTACACCCGACATGGAGCTTGAATTCATGACTCCAAGATCAAGAGTCACATGCTCTTCTGACTGAGCCAGCCAGGTGCTCCTGACTTCATACTTTTGTACTAGATGAAAAACTTTCCTTCTAGAAAACTACCAATTAAATATTTTCTTAGAAAAATAGTGTTGCTTCTTATAATTATTTTTCAAATTCAAATATAGATTGGCATTGATCCATCTTTTGGGGGTGGGTTGGTATGTGTATACATAAAAACTCATTGCTATTTTATTTTGTAGCACTAGAATGACTTCTTATATCAACTACTCAGAATTAGGCCAAACTTCACAGGTTAAAGATACAGTACCCCACAAGATTGCTCTCACTTCAGATACCAACCACAAATTTGAGGGTCCCTAGGCTACTCTTCTGACCAGCTGGCTACAAACTTGGGAGTTCCCACCAGCCCTTCAGGTTTGATAGTTCTCTAGAGCAAATCTCAGAACCAGGAAAGGGCTATATTTATTATGATAATTTTATTATAGCAAAAAGATAGAAATCAAAATCAACCTAAGGAAGAGGCACATAGATTGAGGTCTGGGAGCATCTCAAATGTGAAGCTTTCATCTTTCCCAGGAACACATCACCTGCTGGCATATCAATATGTAACTGCAGAGTACTGACATCTAGAGAGGTTCACCTGAGCTTCATAGCCCAAAGTTTTCACTGAAGAAATAACATGGGTTTAGGAGTTAGTTAACTCCAGGAACTAAGGACAAAGACCAGCCAAGTTCTTTATGACACACTTAAGACAATGTGAAAATGCTTCTTCAATTATTTTTTTCTTTTCATCCAAGTATTTGTCAATGGGCTGTACGTTGTAAGGGGACTTAATTTTATCTACATTCTTTTCCCATTGTTCTCCCATCAGCTGCACCTGTTTGCATTCCCACCATCAGTGCAAGAGGGTTCCTTTTTCTCCATAGCCTCAATTCTTCAATTAGTATTCAGATAAATCATAAACACGAAGACTACACTTTAGATATTCCTCTACTTATCGACCACTGGCAAGAACTTAGACTTAGGACCACAGTTAATGGCAAGGGAGGCCAGAAATTGGTCTTTGGGCAGCAAAGAGCCCAGTTAAAATTTGGGGGATTCTGTTATTAAGGAAAAAGAGTATGATGTATATTGACAGATGACCAGGAATCTGTTTCTTGAGACCCAAATACTGCAAAGCCAATTGGGTGTGAGGCCATATCCATAACTCTCCGGTATCAGCCTTCTCTGTAAGATGAAGGGCTCTGTACTTGTGAAAATAAGTGAAGCCCACTCAAATGAGAACACAAAGGCTATTTTTCAGAGCTTGTTATAGCAAAGGATCAGCTACTATCACCTGCATTTGGCAGAGATCCAGAGGCATACAGAAAGTAAGAATGCTTTGTAATGAGAAGAAATCTTCAGGTATGCCCTGATTGGAGGTTGTTGGCATGGGAAAGCTGGAGGTCAGTTAACTAGGAGTGGAACATCTTATGTGATTGGTTTGGGAAACTTATTTGGCTTTCTACGGTTGGTCCTAAGTTGAAAGTGGGGGGCAAACAAAATAGAACTCGCAGTCATTGACCAAGTTCTGGCTGTTCTGAGCTGACTGCTGTAGAGGCTGTGGTTTGCCTTTCAGGCTGGTTGGCAGAGGTCTGTTGTCTTATCTGGTGTGTCCATTGTCCATTGGTATATTTAGTCCCTCAGCTCCTCCTCTTTGGTCATTCTCTTGCTTGAGAGAGGTTAGCCAATTCAGAGACACTAGACATTCAGATCTTCACAACTTGGGGATTGTTCAGTTGTCTTCATATAAACTGTATCTTAAGATATTTTTGTTGTTGTATCATCATAGCAATCATGTAATAAGAGAGCAGCTGTGCAAAAGCATTGAGTCAAGTAATGTTTTAAGGCACTCTACAGCCTGTGCTACCATGCCTGTTTCATGCATCTAAGAATAGCAAGAAATTATAGCCATGGTACAGATACCATCATGATTAATCAATGAAAAATTTAGAGCAGTGAAATTGCCTGTAACTACTTGTGCCAGTAAAAATAAGGCAGATCAACAGATCTTCTACGTAGTGAAGAGGTGATATTATTATTATTTTGGGGAAAAAGGTGATATTATTAATAACATCTGCCAGAGTCAGTTATAGGTCTCTTAAAGTTTTTTTATTTCCTTCCATTGGAAATACTGTTCTGATGGTTCACATAAACAATGAGTTAGCAATTCACCAGAGTGCCTGAATAATCAAGCTCCTCATTATGGAGCTCCTGAGTTAGATATTCCAGCATTGGTGATTTACAGTTAGGAAATCTGTACAAGGGATTTCTGTACATAGATCTCAGGATACTATTCCTAAACTGCATTAGGTTTTAGTCTGAGAAAAACAAGGCAGTTGTCCTGGCTGCAAAGGAGGTAGAATTTAGTAGGGACACATAAAAGTCAAGGGGAAACATGTTGTTCATGACATGAGATTGGGACCAAAGCTTTATATTAGCTCTGTTACCTATTTGGATTCCTATAAGTGATAAGTAACTGACCCATTATACTATAAAGCTGCATGGACTGATTTATCAGGTTCTGTGCTGAGTAGCCAAAAAAAAAAGAAAAAAAAAAAAAAAACAGACGAGGGCAAATGCAAGAAGACCAGTTAGGAGGCCATTTGTGGTGTCTAGTAAGGGATGCTGGTGGTTTGGGCCAGAGGGTGGAAACAGGTGGTAAGACACTGTCAGATGCTAGAATTTTTTTTTTTTTTTAATTGGGAGATGACAGTATTTCTTGGTTGTTTACACGAAGAGTTTTAGAGGAGTCTAGGGTGGATCTAGATGGCCCTAGCAACTGGAAGAATGGGGCTTCTTTAAATGAAAGGAGCGGGGTATGTCTGGGAAAGCACATCAGGAGTGCAGAGACACCTGTGGGGGTGTCAGCTGCTTGTTTTGTTTTTCAAAGATTTTCTTCATTTATTCATGAGAGACACACAGAGAGAGGCAGAGACACAGGTAGAGGGAGAAGCAGGCTCCATGCAGGGAGCCTGACTCAGGACTCGATCCCAGGTCTCCAGGACCACGCCCTGGGCTGAAGGTGGCATCAAACTGCTGAGCCATCCCGGCTACCCAAGCTGCTTGTTTTGAATTCATTCTCAAAGAGGAGTCTTTGGCTGAGGTCAAGATATTCAGAAAGGCTGTCAAATTCAAATTTATAGTTACTTGTGGTCTGATCATTAGAGTGTAATAACTAGTATTTTATGGGAGACAGGGACTCTAGTAGTCACAGGTTGATTTAAGATCATTCGTCCCTGTAGGTACAAGTGGAAAAACCGTTGACTATAATTCCCTATAGTCTCATTTGATGAGACCAGAATTGCTTTCATACACACACACACTGGTGACCTGGCAATGGATGGCATATTCAGCAGCTAAGACAGAGTAGTGCTTACCATTTAGGATAATTTAAGAATGGTAGAATGAATATGTTCTGAACTAATTATAGAAAAGAGGACAGAAAACAGAAAAAAGGACCATTATGGGTGGATAACAACCACGTATCTGTAGGAATGAGAAAAATATCAGCAAGCAGAAAACCACGTATCTATAGGAATAAGAAAAATACAAGCAAGCAGGAAAAAAAACAAGACAGGACTGACAGAAATCTTGGTCTGACATCTTGGGCAGAAGCTACTTATTATCTGTGGTCACCTACTTATTCCAGAAGTCTTTGGTTAGAGATATACTTCTGAAGATCAGGTGCTTCTAAAGTGTCTTGGAGAATCCTGTCTGAAGTCCTCTAGTGGAGTAGGCTTCCAGTTGTATTACATCTACTTTCTGAATAATTCCTTTTTTAGTTGTGAAATATATACTGAAGAATTAACTCCCTGAAGTTTCACTGCTGTATTTTTGTTGACAGTACCTGATAAAGTCCCATACAATGAGGTTCAAGAGCATTTTTTTAAAAAGATTTACTTATTTATTTATGATAGAGACAGACAGAGAGAGAGAGAGAGAGAGAGAGAGAGAGGCGGAGACACAAGAGGAGGGAGAAGCAGGCTCAATGCTTGGAGGCTGTTGTAGACTCGATCCCAGGACTCCAGGATCGCGCCCTGGGCCAAAGGCAGGCGCTAAACCGCTGAGCCACCCAAGGATCCCCTCAAGAGTTTTCTCTGATGTCTCTTCCTGTAGATAAAAATCTCATGGCTGAAGATCATAAAGAGGCTATTTAGGAAGATGCTGTGGGTAGGTGGCCTTAACCTGCTGATGCTAAGACTGGGTATAAGATTCTCCTGCAATATTTTGCCATGTCTGCATGCAGCAGGGTAGAGTGTTGGAACTGGAACCTCTAAATAAATGGGCTTTCCAGTAATCAGTTTTTAGGGGAATAACTGTTCTATCTCCAAGGGAGTGATCCACATAATCATAAGGGTTTCTGGCCCTAAGGACTACGTTTGGCTGGGTTGCCAAAGGGTTTCTAAAAGTTTTGCTATTTTTAAAATTTAGGCATTTATTTTATTGAGTTTATTTATTTATTTGAGAGAGAGCGAGAGGGAGCATGAGTGGGGGGGGGAGGGGAAGAGGAAAGGAGAGACGAGAAGTAGGCTCCACACCGAGCAGGGAGCCCAATGTGGGACTTGACCCCAGGACCCTAAGATCATGACTTGAGCTGAAGGCAGGCGCTTAACTGACTGAGCCACCCAGGCACCCCAAGTTTTGCTAATTTTAAGTTAAAGATGCCATTAGTTCTTACAGCCTTTCCAGAATATTATGTATGGTAAGGACAACATAGTTTTTGAGTAAGGGATAATGCCATATAGGGTTCTTTTATAATAGTTCCTGTAAAATGTGTGTCAAGTTGACATGGGATGGACTGTGATGGCTTTAAAACGTCAACTGGGGGGATCCCTCTTCGGCCCAGGGCATGATCCTGGAGTCCTGGGATCAAGTCCCACATCAGGCTCCCTGCATGGAGCCTGCTTCTCCCTCTGCCTGTGTCTCTGCCTCTCTGTCTCGTGAATAAATAAATAAAATCTTAAAAAAAAAAAAAGTCAACTTGGCTAGGCTGAACTACATCTCTTTACATGGTAGCTGGATACAGAGGGGATGAAAGTGGAAGCTGCCAGTCCTCTTTGGGCCTTGCTGAAAGTCCTAGAAACACTACTAACTTTCCAATGCAGTCTTCATATATTTTTTTTCTGCCTTCTCAGACTCCCATTAGATGTGTATTGGAATGTTCATGAAGTTCCATTTTTCTAATTTTTTCTCTCTCTGTTCTTTGGACTGTATAATTTTTATTGCTCTATCTTCTAGTTCACTGATGCTCTCTTCTGCCTCTTCAAGTCTGATGAGGCCTTCCACCACTTTCTGTTGATCAAAGCAAGTAATAAGGACAATCAAGGAAGGGGGAATAAACTTCACTTTTTTTTTTTCTTGAAGATTAATTTACTTATGTTTAGAGGCAGGGAGGGGCAGAGGGACAGGGAGCCTTAAGCAGACTCGTCCTGAGTGCAGAGCACAACAAAGGGCTCCATCTGAAGACCCTGAGATCAGGGACATCTGGGTGGCTCAGTGGTTGAGTGTTTGTTTTTGGCTCAGGTTGTGATCCCGGGGTCCTGGGATCCAGTTCTTTTCTTTTTTTTTTTTTTCTGGGATCCAGTTCTGCATTAGGCTTGCCACAGGGAGCCTGCTTCTCCCTCTGCCTGTGTCTCTGCCTCTCTCTGTGTGTCTCTCATGAATTAAAAAAAAATAAAATAAAATCTTAAAAACAAACAAACAAAAAAAACCCTGAGATCACGACCTGGGCTGAAATCAAGAGTTGGATGTTTAACCCAATGTGCCACCCAGGCTCCCCATAAACTTCACTTCTTGATGAGAGTGATAACACGTTAAGTTAGAGGCAGAGAAGGAATTGTTGGGACCACCTCTGCAGGAATCCTGCCATCTATGATTTTTTTTAATTTTTTTAAATGAGCAGTAATTCTCCCTCTTCAATCCACTGTTTAAGCGCCTCTTACCCAAATACCTGCCAGTGCTGAGTGTGAACAATCTCTTTTAATTTAGCCAACTTGGTATGTTAACAGTCTACTAAAAATGGGGTGCATTATAAAACAGGAGGGAAACAGGTTGTCCAATTCAGCAAAGAAAAAGAAAACAGTAGATGAAGCGACCGTGTCAACCTTAATTTTTGGAATCTACCGTGTCACTATTTTTTGTTTTTTCTGCATGTTAAAATATTTTTATGCTAAATTTGAAAATCGGAGGTCTAAAGAAGTCGGTATCTTTTCTCGGTCCACATACGCCGGTCATCTGGGCAGCCCCAGAGCAGACGCTACGAAGCCATGATGAGCAGGACTGGCGCAAACACCACAGCGTGGGTCTGGGATATGAATGTGGCCAAACGTGAGCATCACCAGAATACGTAAGCGCGCGTGTGAAATGCCAAGTACCTGACGTCCTTAATGAATCTAAGAGACTTCAGAGCTTTACCGCAGTTGGGTAGGAACAGCTTTATACTCCACGTCTGCCTACTCCAAACCTCCTCGAGGCATCACCCCTTGTAGGTTCCCGCAGACCCTTCTCGGGCTGGTCTGTACCTCGCACTTGCGGCGAACGGTCCGCGGCCGCAGCCGCCGCAGCTCCCGCAGGTACAGGCGGGCCCGACCGCACGCACGCGTCCGCCGCCTCTTGCTTCCGGTCTCCGCCTCCCGGCCGAGGACACTAACCGCCAGCCCCGCCCCCGGGTCCTAAGGCAAGGACCCCAGCGCGGCTGTCCGCCGCTGCGCCGGACTCATTCTATCCCGTTGCCGGTAGAGAGACTCCCCCACCGCAGTCTGCGCAGCGGCGCGACCCTCCGGGAATTCAGCCACGGGCTGCGGCCAGCCGTTCGGGAGTTGCAGTCGCGGCAGGCAGTGGAGAAGGCGGCCCCGCCGGAGGCGAGCTCCGGGCTCCAGCATGGCGGCGGCGGTGCGCGCTGCGGGCCGCCTCCCTGCGCTGTGCGGCGTGCCGGCGGGTGAGAGCCGGGGGGCCGGGAGAGGGGCTCCGAGCGGGCGCGGGCGCGGGCGCGGGCATCGTCCCCGGGCCTCGTCCGCGGGCCGCAGGTGCGCCGGCGGAGGGAAGCGCCGGGACGCGCGGCCCCTGGGCCCATCCGGCGCGGCTCCGTCCGTCGCAGAGCCGCTGTGCGACCTTGCGCGCCTCTGTGACTTCTCGGAGTCGCGGGGTTCCCGGTCTGTAAAGCGAGGGTGGACGGGACGCCGTGCAGGGCTCCTTTCCCGTTCACCAAACGGCTGGAGCGTGCTTCGGCTCAGAGGCGCGGGGAGCCGGGAAGCAAGCATCGCCGTCCCGCGGGCGCGACGGCCGTTCATTTGGTGATGATGTCGATGCGGGGTTCAAGGCAGGTGGAGGCAGGTGGAGGCAGCCCTCCGGCTGGAGTCGAGTAAAATTAGATCCCAGGCTGGCCAGTGTCATTATTGTAAAGAAATGATTTCAGTGGCCGTGCTTTTGCTGTTCAGTTGTCCTCTCCCCGCTTTGTTGGTTTGCAGCCCGCGGAGGTGCCTGCACTCTGCTCCATTCGGTAGCAGGTCTCCCGCCTGTGCTTCATGAGCAACTTGCCCTTTTTTCTTCGCTCTATTTCATTGTAAATCCGCAACCCAGCATTCGTAATTCCAAGACCTCTAAAAACCGAAGATTTTTTATTTTATTTTATTTTTTTGTAACTTGGAGAGGGTCAGGTTTTTTGTATCCATATCACCTGGCTCCAGAGCGTGTTTTTCTCCCCTTTTCTGGTGTATTACTGACTTTTTTGGTAGCAACTTTATTAGGATGTAATTTAAACACCATACCGTTATCCTTTTAAAGTGTACAATTCAATAGTTTTTTTTTTAATTTACTTATGATAGTCACAGAGAGAGAGAGAGAGGCAGAGACACAGGCAGAGGAAGAAGCAGGCTCCATGCAACGGGAACCCGACGCGGGATTCGATCCCGGGTCTGCAGGATCGCGCCCGGGGCCAAAGGCAGGCGCCAAACCACTGCGCCACCCAGGGATCCCTCAATAGTTTTTAGTATATTTGCAAAGCTGTACAACCATAGCCATATAATCAATTTTTAGAACATTTTCATCACCCCAAAAGTATGCCCTTTGTTCCCCATTGCCCCCAGCTCTGGGCACCCTCTAAACTCTATGGTTTAAATGTTCTGTATAATTCATGTACTATGTAGTCTTTTGTGATTGGCTTCTTTCACTTAGCATAAGGTTGTCAAGATTCGTTCACGTTGGAGCATGTATCAGTACTTCATTTCTTCTTATGGCTGAATTTCTGTTGCATGTACATACTCATCATGTTTATCCATTTATCAGTTGATGAATATTTGCCTCAAATATTTTTGAGCATGCTGTAATATGCCTTTGAGGCATACTATAACAGCCTTTTGGCTATTAGGCCTGATGTTGCTATAAATATTTGTGTGTAATGTTTTTGCTTCCCTTGTGTGTAGACCTGGGAGTGGAATCACTGGATCAAATGGTAATTCCATGTTTGACTTTTTGAGGAATGGCTAGACTGTTTCCTGATGTAGCTGCAGCATTTTACATCCCCACCAGCAGAGCATGAGGGTTCTTATTTACATTCTTGTCAACGTTTGTTACTATCTGTCTTTTTAATTATAGTCACCCTAATGGGTGTGAAGTGATTTCATTTGGTGGTTTTGATTTGCATTTCCCTAATGGCTTATGAACATCTTTTTTGGTGGTGGTTTGTCCACTTGTAAATACTCCTTGGAGAAATGTCTGTTCAAATCTTTACGTGTTTCTACATTGGATTGTCTTTTTATTAGTGAATTGTTAGAGTTATTTATATATTCTAGATACAAATCACATTCTATATGATTTGCAAAAATTTTCTTTCAATCTGTTCGTTGTCTTTTCACTCTCTGAATATAGTGTCCCCTGAGGCACAGAAGTTTTAAATTTTGGTGAAGTCTGATTTGTCTATTTAATTTTTGTTTCTTATGCTTTTGTATATCTAAGAAACCATAGCCAAATTCAAGGTCATGATGATTTACCCTTAGGATTTTTTCTAAGAGTTTTATAGTTTTTCCTCTTACCTTTAGGTCTTTGATCCATTTTTGAGTTGATTTTTTTTTTGAGTTGATTTTTATATATGGTATGAAGTAGGGCTCTAACGTCATTTCTTTTGCATGTGGATATTCAGTTGTCCCAGTACCATTTCTTGAAAAGATTATTGTTTCCTCACTGATTTGTCTTGGTATCCTTTTCAAAAATCAGTTACCAGTAAATGTTGTCATCCTGTTGGGAAGCACTGTTCCATGTGAAGTGGCACCCAGTATGGTTACAGCCTGGCGCTGCTGGGGTTTCAGAGAGGGAGGAGAGCAGAGTGCTTGGTGGGAGGGCACTGTGGGAATCAGGGAGCCTTCACCCAGAGGTGATGTTTCCAGAGAACATGTCAGAGACACAAACGGATTGAAGAGCAGAGAGTGTTCAAGAATGACTATAAGTCTGGTATAGAGAGGGTGGAGGGGACAGTGGTGACAGATGAGGCTGATGTGGAAGGTTGGAGGCCACACTGCAGTCCCGTAGGCCATGTTAAGGAGTTTTGACTTTGTTCTGCAGATAATAGGGAGCCAAAGAATGATAAAATGGGCCTGGGAAATGACCAGACTTGTTAGGAAGGCCTGTGTGACAACAGGTGGGGAATGAGAGCCAGGGTAGCAAGACCTACTAAGGGCCTATTGTTACCTTGTGACTGAGGGATGGTGCCTCAGTGAAGAAGGGATAATTAGACCCTGGGAAAGGGTGCAGCTGATAGATTTTGGGGACAGTTTCTAGGACCTGGTAACTGATTAGATGTTAGCACGAAGGAGAATATGTGGTGTTACCTACTACAAGTGGTTGTAGGACCTGGAAGTTACTCATTTGCTTCTCTTGGTTCTTTTATTCTATAGGTATTAATATTCTTTGGGTGTTAAAAATGTTCCTTTTAATGTAGAAATCTATCTTAAAAGAATTTTTTAAAACTTACAGGTCACATATGGTCCAGGCAGCTTTACCTAAACACCTATCCAACAGCTTCTGTTTTGGCATTGAAGACTGTTCTCAACAATGGTGAGATTCATTTATCCAACTGTCTTTACATATACAAGATCCAAGGCCAGAGTACTTTATATATGTGTAAATGTAAATGTACAAAGCACATTCTATATAATGGAAACGCATAAGGTTTTCAAATTATTTATGATTATAGTTGTTATAGTACAAGGCTTTAAAAAATAATAGCTATGATTTTTGGAGTAATTACTGTGTGTCAGGCTTGTAACATGTTATATTGGTTAATTCTCACCAGTTTTTATGAGATTCATTTCCATTTTGCAGATGATGGAGTGAGTCTCTGAGAGGCTAAGTGACTCCCTCAAGACTGCACAGCTAGTAAATGACAGGGCTGGGTCCAGAGCTGTCTGGATACTGTGGTGCCTTCTGGTAATGCCGTGTCTTTGCAGAGGCCTTTGTTCCTACACGGACAGAGTGCGGGGCCCTCTGTTCAGTCACTCTCCAGAAGGGAAGGAAGCCAACCTTTGCTGAGCCAATGTTGTGCTTGTGGTCAGTGAAATGCCTTTTCCTATGGTTAGGGCAGAATTGAAATCTCATTGTGTCCTTGACTTTCTGGAACTCTGTGTGCTGAGGCTTTACTTTTAGTTTTAACTTTCTTTTTTGTCTTGTTAACCCCACTTGTTGAGATGCCTTCATGCCTTGCTTAAGGGGGTCCTGAAGAGTGGGATGACCCGAGCTCTTCCCTTTATTTGTTCACTTACTAGTTGGATTCATTCATTCTTTCATTCATAAACTCCTGACTCTGCCCTCTACTGTGAGTAGTGTCCCCAATCTGAGCTGATGGAGGGCCTGCAGAAGGCTTCTGTGAGGAAGGCCAGAGACTGGCCTCACTTCTCAGAGATGTGAAAATAGCTGCTTTAACTTTGGCTCTCTGTTCTAACGGAATTAGAAAGGCTGCTTTATCTAAAGCAAACTGAGACACCTAGATGCTTCGAAGGAAGGCATCTCGGAACAGTTTGGTGAAGCATCAGGCAGACAGGCTTAACATCCAAAGGCAACACAGCAAGTCTTCCATCGTAGTAGTTCCCAAAAGCAGCTACTTAAAAATCTGGATCTCTATTTGACAGAAGACTGCGTTACTTTTAATAGTATCCCAATCTTCATTGTCGTACATGGAAATAAATTGGTTTTGCATTACAAAAAAAAAAAAACAACCAAAACGGCCCAGTGCCCTTCAATAAACTTTATTCTCTTGAGAGCTGTTTTAACCCTCCTCCACACTTCCATGGTGACTAAATCCTCCATTGAAATACAAAGCTGGAGTATGTACGGTTTTTGTGATCAATAATCCCATTTCCTGGAGTCCCTGATTGCTGTCATCCCTGCCGTCTCCCTTGCAAGACACCTCCATCCATGGGATTGGTCAAATGGCAGCCTCTAAGACATGGCTGTTTAAAAACATTTTCTTGTGTGACACATGCATATGGTTAGAAAAATTCTAAAAAACCCAAAAAAGCAAATCTTTCCTACAAACCACAGATATATCAGTTTTCTTCCTCAGAGGCAACTGCTGTGACCAATTTCTTGAATATGCTTCTGAAATTAGTCTATAAAGTATATTCATGTTCCCTCCTTGTTTTTGTCAACATGAAGGGTAGGGTGCTCTACTGTTCAACACCTTGCTCTTCTAACCAGGCCATTTAGGTCTTTCCACACAAGTACATTGCCTGTTGCACACAGCAGAGGTCGCCATTTGTCCAGAGTAGACATTGCTGATCCTGGGGTCAAAAGGGCAACATAGCTGCATAGCATCATGGCGATCCATGTCAGGACAGACTACTTTCTTTAGACAGCTACATCTGTTGTGTGGATGAACTGTCACTTCTCTAACTAGGATAGGCAGTTATGTCTGTAGTCTGAAGTTTTGCTTTAGTTTCTAAAGAAAGACTATCCTCAAAATACGACTTTTAAAAATTCAGGATTTTAGTGACTTATTTGCATCAGTAATGGTTAATTATTTGCTGCTGGCAATATTTTTTCCACAGGCTTGGAGCATCTAACTCAAAGAGTTTTATTCCATCTACCTACAGGCCCTTTGTCATATCCAGGAACCAGAGACAACCATCATTTCATCAGCTTGACCCGTGCACTACAGACACAATGCTGTATTTCTTCTCCCAGTAATTTGATGGGTCAACAGTACAGATCCTATAGTTTCTTCACTAAATGTACGTAGACTGGCCACAAATTTGCCATTTCATGAAACGGGAAAATAATCTTTTGTTATCTTAATTTTTCTTCTTTTTCTTCTTCCTTTAATGAATTAACACTTTAGAAATTAGTTTATGATGTGCTAGTAAAATAATATACCCTAGTGTACCTCCTAGAATTATCTCATATACTGCCAGCTATATTTGTACTGTACTTTGGGAAACACTGGTTTATTTTAATTCCCTTACTTGGGGCGCCTGAGACCTAAAGAGTAATTGAATTGTGGCCCAGATCCCTGCTAATTGAGATTCACCACAAGAATATATTCAAAGTTGGGATCCCTGGGTCGCTCAGTGGTTGAACGTCTGCCTTCGACTCAGGGCATGATCTCAGGGTCTTGGGATCGAGTTCCACATCAGGCTACCTGCAGGGAGCCTGCTTCTCCCTCTGCCTGTGTCTCTGCCTCTCTCTGTGTGTCTCTCATGAATAAGTAAATAAAATCTTAATATATATGTTTGTATGTGTGTGTATAGTATCTTACATAAACCTTATATATGTGTATATATGTATATATTTTATATATACATAAATCTTATATATTTTTCTAATATATATATGTGTATATATTTTCAAAGTCTGTTTTCAGGTGCACTTTAGTTGAGATAGTGCAGATCAGGAAGTGTTAATTTTATGTAGACATTGTTTTGCTAACACTACTTGTACTTGAAATAGTCAAGTCTCAACTGAAATAAGCTTGTAATAAATGGAGATTGATTTCACAACTCAGCATTAAGCAAATTAAAAGAAATTAGAATTAGGGTGCCTGGTTAGCTCATTCGTGGAGCATGTAATTTTTGATCTTGGGGTTGTGAGTTTGAGCCCCACACTGTATAGAGATTACTTAAAAGTTTCTGTTTTTTAAAAAAGAAAGAAATTAGGATTACAAAGCCAATTCACTTTAGATTATTACATAAATACAGAAAATCACCTGTAATTCTACTACCCTGAAACACTGGTTGGCTACTTTTTTCATGTAGCTGTCAGTGCATTATACATTTTCCCATGTCAGTACAAAGATGCCTCCAGTGCAGTATTATGCCCTAGTGTATTTCATTGTGTAGGTACAGATCACTTCAAATTGGAAGTCTCATAGTAACTAGATCATTTGTTTAGCAATGCAGAAAAGAGAACCAGACAGTAGAGGGATTACAAGTAACACAGAATCCGTTGTATCTGTGGATTTTGGTGCAAAGAGAAAAGAGAGGAACAGATCAAAAATGAAAGTTCGAAGTATGGTTTCTGCTGAATATATATCACTTTTGCACCATCGTAAAGTTAAAAAATCCTGTCAAACTGTCATAAGTCAGGGACTGTCTGTAGTTTTTTCCCTGCCCTAAAAGTCCTTTTCTCTAACTCTTCTTGTTATAGAAGTGCCCCTTGTCCTCTGAAACCCCTCTCCCTGCACTATTGTTTCACACCTGCCTGTGACTCTCTTAGCCTACATTCTTCTCCAGTTATAGGACTCTGAACCTTTATGAGTTTATTGCTCCCAACTGATACTAAGGTTAACTTTAAGAAAATGAACTCTATTGAAATTAGCATTGAGCTAGTTTATACTGTTTCAGTAGGAAAGTTTTTGATTTTGTAAATCTCCTCCAAAAAATAAACATAATTTATCAAAACTCATTAAGATTTCTTAAGAGTATTTAACATTATACTTGTAAATCTATCCCTCTGCCATGGAGGATCTCATTTAAATACCTTTGATCCAATTTAGCAAGCAGTTTATTAGGCATGATTAAGATAGAAGTAGTTCCGTGTATCAAATTGGATGTGATGGTGGATTTTTCGTGTGTGTGTGTGTGTGTGTGTGTGTGTGTGTGGGTAAAATCATGAAATTTATTTTACCTAACTATGATAGTTAACTGGTATATGCATTAATCTACCTAAGTTCTTCCAGAAATAACAGAAGGAATTGAAATAATAAATATATTCTAAATAACATTTTAGGTTAATTAGAATCTTTTTTTTTAAATTTTATTTATTTATTCATGAGAGACACAGAGAGAGGCAGAGACATAGGCAAAGGGAGAAGCAGGTTCCATGCAGGAAACTTGATGAGGGACTCAATCCCAGGACTCCAGGATCATGCCCTGAGCCAAAGGCAGACGCTCAACCGCTGAGCCACCCAGGCATCCCAGGTTAATTAGAATCTTAGACCAGTATGTTCTGATATTAAAATAGTAAAATCTCTGTCAAACAGCTTAATTCAACTTAAAAAATTACATTCATGAATAATAGTAAGAATATGAGATAAGGCTCACAGTGTAATATGTTAAAAACAAAAGGATGCAAAATTGTATGTGTAGTATAATTTCAGTTTTATCTAAAGCAAACTGAGACACCTAGATGGCAAGAACTTTTAAACTCTAAGCATGAGGGAATGAAGATGCTCACATATCTTCCAGAATATATTTAGTTTTTCAGGCATGTAGATAACTGTATCTTAGAGTTTTGATGACTATAACATTTGTGTGGCTCTCATTCTTCATTAAAGTTGGTAATGGGACGGAATCTATGATAGTAAAATCAGTTGGTGAAAGACTGATTGTGAAAGACTGGAAGTCCTTGGGAAGATAGAACTTAAATCTAGTAAATGATGTAGCTAGATCAGTAAAATTCAGTAGCATCAAAAGTAAAGAATCTGAATATTCCACAAAAACAAAGGGGAAAATACTGATTGAAATGTATGGTAGAAAAAGATTTAGGGATCCTAGAAATTCACAAATGGAAATAAATAAGCAGTGTCAGGGTCTATAGATAAAGTAAAAGACAAGGGTGATTTAAGAATATATACACTCCATGCAAGTATTAATTATCAGACCCCTACGTACTCATTCTTTCTGACCTATTGATTAGATTTTAGGGTTAAAGATGACTTTGGGCATCTTATTTTGAAGAATACACAGGCATTTAGATTCATAGAAGAATAGAGCAAATAACCCAAAATATTAAGATTTACGGGTTCAGATTGAAATGTTGATTGGTTGGGCAAATAAACTTGTGTTAAAGAAGGATAGGTATTGATGATTATCTTGTGGTTACAATGGTGGCAAGAGAGCAGGGAATAGACATGTAACATAGTTGATAACATGTCTGGGAAACAGACTACTGGTAAATTAGATTTAAATATTGGCCGTCTTTTGTAGAGGGAGCCCACATGCTTTGAAAATAGTAGAATCCTCTCTTGGGCTGTCTGCCTGTAATCATGTGATATATATACAAACAGTGATTTAGTTTTGCTTTCATCACCACAGTGATACAAGTGAGGCTGGCTTCTGGCCTTTTTTTTCAGTAGGGGATCATAGATCATTGCTTGGTAATTAAAAAAGCCAAAAACCTGTTTCATTACAGTGACGGCAGATGAGCTTTGGAAAGGCGCTTTAGCAGAGACTGGAGCAGGAGCAAGGAAAGGAAGAGGCAAAAGATCTAAGAAAAAGAGAAAAAAGGATTTGAATAGGGGTCAGATCATTGGTGAAGGTAAGCTTATTTATAAAAAAGCTAATATGCTTTTTAAGGTTTCCCTCCCAGTTTTGAAGAGATTTCTATGGTCTAGAAACCTCATACATTTCTCATGAAGGGCATTAGGGTCTGCAGTTTTAGAGTTCAACCAAATGGCTCACTTAATGTGTCATGATTCTGGAGGAAGGAAATCCCATAGAAAGGAATTCATTTAGTTATTCATTCAGCAAGACTTAAGTGTCCTCGTGTTACATCTTCTGTGTTTGTCTCATAGCCCTTGGGGAGCTTATGATTCATTGAGAGAGTTGGCAAGCTTTCTCTGTAAAGGGTTAGATGGTAAATATTTTTAGCTTTTATGAGACACATGGACTCTTCCAACTATTCAACTCTGCTGTGGGAGCACAGAAATAGTCCTGGATAATATGTGATCAAACCAGGATAGCTGTGTTCCAGCAAAACTTCACAAAACAAGTAGAGGGCAGGGTTTGGTCCCTGGGCCTTAATTTGCCAATCCCTGGAACACATGATTGTTTATACTTGTGTTTTTTGAAGAGTGAAAATAATGCAATGTACTTGAATCGATATTTTGTGCTATGGTTGCTGACAAATTATCCCTGATAGTAGTAGGCTTCCCGGCATAAAGAAAACACCTTTCGCTGCACTTGCTTGTCTATTTAAATGTTTTTCTCCAATGACTTGCCTTGTATCTTATTTTATTTTTTAACATTTTTAAAAGTTATAACAATCATATATATGTACCTTCTTAGTAAAAAATTCAAAGATTATAGATTATAGAATCTAAAGTCCCCTTGATGCCACTTCTGTCTCCTCCCATTCTAGTTGCTGCCCCCAAGGAAGGCGTGGATCTCATTTTGATATGTTTTCTGCTGATGTTTTTTAATGTTTTTATATACATAAGTACCTTAAATATATTTTTCTTTAAAAAAATTAAGTTATATGGTATGTACTGTTTTATAGTTTGTTTTTTTGCACTAAATAATGTGTTGGAAATTGTTCCGCATCAGAATCTATATAATTACCTTATTCTTTCAGTTTAGTGCAGAATATTTCATGGATTAAAGATGCCAGAGTTCATTTAACCAGTCCAATATTGCTGTATATGTAGATTGTTTCCATTCTTTGCCTTTACAAATAACAGTTCAGTGGACCTCCTTGTCCAAGCACACTGAGGCCTCATACATGTATAGGAGTTTGTCTCTAGGTAACATCATGAAGTGGAATTACTAGTTATGGAGTAGATACACTTAAAATTTTAATAGACAGTGCCACGTGGCCTGCCAAGTGATCGTTAGCTTAAGCTCCGTCCAGTAGTGCCATTATCTGTACCCCATTGCCTGCCATTTTAACATTTAAGAAATGGATGATTTTTAAAAATTCTTATTAACGTGTGTTTTTAAACCTTTAGGACGTCATGGCTTCCTATGGCCTGGTCTGAATGTCCCTCTTATGAAAGAGGGAGCTATGCAGACCATTGCCCAAAGAAGCAAGGAAGAGCAGGAAAAGGTGGAGGCTGATATGATCCAGCAGAAGGAAGAGTGGGACCGGAAGAGGAAGATGAAGATTAAACGGGAGCGAGGATGGAGTGGAAACACATGGGGAGGCGTCAGTCTTGGCCCCCCTGACCCTGGTCCCAGTGGAGGTAGCAGAGTCCTGGTGTGGCTTCCCTTTGTGACAGAGAGAGTACTTGTAGTTCTAGAATTCCTTAAGAGGATTTTATTTACTTACCTGTTTAGATTGCTTTTTTCCAAAAAAGGATTTGAACATCATTGAGATAACTTCACGTTATTACTCAGTTGTATTTTATGGAACATTAGAGGCCCATAACCAAGAAGCATTTCACACACAGGATACAAAGTACGGTTTTTGGCATCCTTACTTCTCAGAGCCTTGAATGTGCTAGTATGCATTTCGGATCTATGCAAGCCACCTGTAGGATGCAGTTCCCTAAACTCAGTGTCATTGGGTACCTATGGAGCAACATAGCTTGGAAATGCTGTTTTGATAACAGAAGATAAACCAGATAGTTGTCATTCAGCCTTATAAAAGCATACATGAAATTAAAATTGATAGTACTAAAAAAAAAAAATTGATAGTACTTATTAGACCAAATTAGAAAACAAAGTCCTCTACCTGAGCCCCACCCCTAATATGTAAAGAAGTAAAATCTGAAAAATTCACTCTTGTCAATGAGTAGGAGTTGAAGAAATAAGAATTTGGCTACTTTCTCAGGTTTGGCATAAAGAGAGGAGAAGTTGAGATGGAGAGATTCAGATGAACATGCTTAGAATGGAGCAAAATGGTTCAGTTGAGAGGTTGAAGGTATGGGTTGGAGAGAAAAAATGGAGAGAAAAAAATCCCTAAACTAAATCCCTAAGGAGGGCCCAGATCCAGTTTGGATAAATGGATTAACTTGTGACTACGGATTCAGGGGAGCCTGTGCTGTTGTGTGTGTGCTGGGGATGTGATGTGAGTGGTATCTGTCTGGTGGCTTCAGTTAGTCTATGAGAAAGAGGTGGGCCATCTGCTGAAAGTAGGATGGGGCACTGATGAGCATCCAATGGAGTAGGAATTAGAGTTTAGAGAAAAGAAGATTGGCTATGAGTTGATTATTGTTGAAGCTGGCTAATGGGTATGTAAGATTTAATTTTGCTCATCTCATTTTTTATGATTGAAATTTTCTATAGGAAAAAGTTAATAAAAATAAAAGAACACAGTGTTTGAAATGGCTGCTGTGGTGAGTGGAAAGAGACCTAAAAGGACATTAAAGGCCAATGGGCAGCAGGGAGGACTTGATTGAGTTGGAGACCATGAATAGTTAGTGGTCTACATGTGTACTATGCTTTGACTTCTCTCCATCACTTCCTAACAGGCCAGGTGTGGCCAGACAATTGCATTGATTCTGGACTGGATAGTATGGTAGAGAGAGAAGAGGGTAAGGAGTTGAGGTGGAAGTGATTGATTGCTTGTGATGTCTTAGCTGAGTGGCAGAGGCTTCGAAAACCAGAGGAGGTTAGAGGGAAGGGAAAACAGTGGTCAAGAGTCTGGAGGTGTTGGGGAGTTCCAGGAACCAACACTATTCAAATTGTTGAGTGAGAGACCTGGAGGGGTAGGATGTTGCAGTCGAGATGGTGGCTGAGTTTATTAATTTAATGCTGGAGCAGTCTCAGGTGGTGATGGAGGACCAGGGCGTGGTCTTGGGAGTGGCACTAAAAGATCTGAGATTCTCTCTTGAAAATCAGTGATGGTGCTGGTGTTGAAAAATGCTTTCATGCATTAACTGTGTAGACACATTTATCTGTATGCCTGCTTCTTTTCTCTCTCCAGAAACATATGATGATTTTGATACCAGGATACTTGAGGTAGGCATGCTGAATTAAATACCCAGTTGAGCCTTTGGAGAAGTTGGGGTGGGGAGAGTGGGAATAGCACAAGAGGAACCATGAGAAAAAGTCTTTTTTGTTTTTTGTTTTTTAGAGAGACAGTACATGGGTACAGGCAGGGGCAGGGGTGGGAAAGATAGGCAGAGAATCTCAAGCAGGCTCCACACCCAGCACAGAGCCCAGTGCAGGGCTCAATCTCACAACCCTGAGATCATGACTTGAGCCGAAATCAACTGACTTCACTGACTGTGCCCTCCAGGTGCCCCCAAGAAAAAGCCTTTGATGCATGACTTTTTCTGAGACACAGAGCTGACTTGGATAAGGAAATAATGAAATTTTTATTTCAGCTACTTGATATTGGCTCTCCTGACTGCTGCCCTTTTGGGGGGCTACCAGTTACAGTCTCATGACAAGGCGATCTCAGTGGTATAAAGAACAGAGTTTGGGACAGCCTGGGTGGCTCAGCGGTTTAGTGCAGCCTTCAGCCCAGGGCCTGATCATGGAGACCCGGGGATCAAGTCCCATGTCAGATTCCCTGCATGGAGCCTGCTTCTCCCTCTGCCCGTCTCTGCCTCTCTCTCTCTCTCTCTCTCTCTCTCTCTCTCTCTCTGTCTCTCATGAATATAAATAAATAAATCTTAAAAAAAAAACAGAATATGAAGATTACTGTTAAAATCCTCCCTCTAAAGCTAAAGTAGAATTAGCAATCCTTGAATTCTTTTTTTTTTTTTAAAGATTTTATTTTTTCATGAGAGACAGAACAGAGACATAGGCAGAGGTAGAAGCAGGCTCCCCATGAGGAGATCGATGTGGGACTCAATCCCAGGATCCTGGGATCATGACCTGAGCCAAAGGCAGACGCTCAACCTCTTAGCCACCCAGGCACCCCTGTCCTTGAATTCTAAACAAGCTATACCTGGCACTTGGTTCAGGGAGCAAAGGGGAGGAACCATGTGCCAGGGAAAGAAAGCTTGGAGGTGCTGTGAATGCCTAGCTTTTGATGAGGAAATAATCTGCTAGGTTGTTTGTAGGTCCTTTAACTGAAAGCTATTATCAGATAAATTTCAATCATTCTTCCCAGGATACTTCTTAAAAGAGCTTCCCTTTGGGCTAGTACCACATGCTTGGTCAGGGTTAAATATCATGTGGAAAACCACTTACTGATTTTGTGATCCAATATGTATATTGTTTCATCATTATCAGTAATTAAAATATGTTTGCGAGGGACGCTGATAGCTCAGTGGTTGAGTGTCTGCCTTTGGCTCAGGCCGTGATCCCAGTCAGGGATTGAGTCCCACATTGAGCTCCCTGTGAGGAGCCTTCTTCTCCCACTGCCTATATCTCTGCTTCTCTCTCTGTATCTCTCATGAATACATGAATGAAATCTTAAAAAAAAAAAAAAAAAGGTTCACGAGTATTTTATGTCTTTGCGTCCCAGTTTATACCTTTTGGAAGTTAATCCCTTTGAAGAATTCTTGTGTACGTGGATGAGTTCCTGTAAGGTTATTCATGGGCGTGGACTCGAGCTGCCTTTTCCTTTAACCTTACTTTATGGGAAAGGACTTGCCATGTAAACAGTTAAAGGTAACAGTTTCATAATTCCTGGCCTTTTAAATACACCAAAAAAAAAAACCAAAAAGGACACAAGATAAAACATTTTCCTATAGATCATAATCAGGGATTTCCAAATTTTATATTATCAGGTGAGCCTAATCCTTGGCAAAGAGATCCAGTCCTATCCTAATTCTTTTTATGTACTGTATTTTTATTCATTTCTAAGATCCACATTTTTTCATATTTTAACATCTCTGATAATTGGGATATGTTATCAATCAGTTTTAATTTCTTTCAAAGTTTATTTTTTTATTTTTATTATTTTTTAAAAGATTTTATTTACTTATTTCACAGAGAGAGCACAGAGGGAGTGGCAGGCCTATGGAGAGGGAGATGCAGGCTCCCTGCTAATAAGCAGGGTGCCCACTATGGGGCTGGATCCCAGGACCCTGAGATCATTATCTGAGCCAAAGACAGCTACTTAACCAGAGCCACCCAGGTGCCCCTCTTTCAAAGTTTAATCAGCAACTCTCTTCCTCTGTGAAATTCATTAAAATAGTATATATTGAGTTTCAAATCCCTTCAAAAGTTATCTCAGTCCAACCTTCTAACTACCTTATAAAATAGGCAGGGAAAGTCTTATTTTCATTTTATCACTGGAGAAATAGTGCAGAGAGATTTCCTTGAGAAAGTTTGTTCTTGGTGCTCATAACTTGGAGGTTGATGTAGCTACTCACCATGGGGGTATATGTGTGAAAATAGATTACTCCTGTTCCTTACTTCAGAATTTTCTTTTCCTTTTTTTCTTTTTTTAATTTTTATTTATTTATGATAGTCACACACACAGAGAGAGAGAGAGGCAGAGACACAGGCAGAGGGAGAAGCAGGCTCCATGCACCGGGAGCCCGATGTGGGACTCGATCCGGGGTCTCCAGGATCGCGCCCTGGGCCAAAGGCAGGCGCTAAACCGCTGCGCCACCCAGGGATCCCTCTTTTTTTAATTTTTAAAGTAATCTCCACACCCAAAGTGGGGCTTGAACTTAACCCCAAGATCAAGAGTCACATGCTCTAGTAACTGAGCCAGCCAGATGCCCCCAGAAGTTTCTTAACGTGTAATATATATGAAACATTTTGTCTTTTAGGTAAGAAATGTATTCAATATGACTGCAAAAGAGGGAAGAAAGAAATCAGTCCGTGTCCTGGTCGCTGTGGGGAATGGTAGAGGAGCTGCAGGTGAGTGGGTGTGATATGCATAGTGCTGGTGGTGGAGGCAGGGGCACGTGTAGTCTGGGCTCGGCTCTGGAGTCTCTGGCTTCTTGCTGCTGTCCAGACTCTGTACAGATTAAGCCTTTTGGTTGGTTTGGGTCTACAAATCTTGTGATAAATCCATAAAATCCCTTAGACAAAAAAAGAAGAAACCGATCTTCCTCTATCTGTCTTTTCCTGTGAGAACAATGGATATTTTAAGAGGCTTTAAAACACTGCTGTATTATGTATAATAGCACAAAATTAGGGGGGAAAAGCCACTGGATGTTCAACAATAGGGACATAGTTATAGCCACACATTGTAATAGTCTATGGCCATTAAAGAATAATGGAAAATTACAGAATAATGCTAAGTAAAAATAACCAAAAAAACTTCACAGAAGATTGTATAATATAATCCCAATTTTTGTTTTTTTACCTAAGTATTTTTCCATGCAAAGAAAAGACTAGAAGGATATACACTGAAAAAATTAATAATGTTTCATCCATAGGGTTTTGAGTCATTTAAATTTTCTTTTTATACTTTTCTGTAACATTTCCCCAGTGAATGTCTGGTTTTGAAGTATATACATGGATGTGTAAGGGAAAGAAAACTGGAAAACTGCCTATTTAAATCCAAACTGACACTTACAGAACAAGTCATCTATATGACAGGATGTTGCCCAAAGAAACCACTCTTAACAGTTACTTTTGTATCTTTCAGAAATTCTGTATTTATATATCACCATTTACCTTTTAAAAATATTTACACAAAGGGAGCAGAGTGTATCCATAATTTTGTACCTGGCTTTCCTTGCTTAGTATTATACCCAGAGATCTTCCTCTAGTAGCACAGACAGATTTCCCCTCATTCTTTTTACTGACTGCATAGTGTTCGATTATGTGGAGAAACATGATTGTTGTAATCTTTCCCCTGTTGGTGAATGTTTATGTTATTCCCATTTTTTCCCCATTTATAAAAACAGCTTCTTGTGTATGTAATTTGTGGTAATTTTCCAAGTGTACCAATGGGGGAAGCTTCTTGCAGTGAAATTACTACCTCGAAGTTATATGCATTTTAAATGTATTTAAGTTAAGTAAGTATTTCCAGATTGCCTTCTCTAAAGGTCGTGCCAGTTTATGTTCTTCCCTACCAATACATCCCTGCCAGCCCGGGGTATTGTCAAACCACACTGATTGTCAAGCATATCTCTTAGTTTTGATTTGCATTTCTTTAATGATGAGAGTTTGGGCACTATTTTACATGTTTTTTGGCCATTATTATTTCCTTTTTGAGATCTGTTAGTTTACAGGTTTTACCCATTTTCCTATTAGGCGATGGTTCCTTTCTTTACTAATAGTATATAAGCTCTTTCTAAGATAAGGACATTAGCCCTTTGTCTATCCTATATTTGACTTAGATTTTAATTTTTTTCTACACAAAAGTTTTAAATCCACAGAAGTTTTAAACCTTTATATAGCAACTTGTGTGTGTGTGTGAGAGAGAGAGAGAAAATGAGAACAAGAGGGGGAGGGGCAAAGGGAAAGGGAGAGAGAGAATCTTAAGCAGGCTTCATGCCCAGTGTAAAGTCCAACACAGGGCTTAATTTTACTACCCTGAGATCATGACCTGAGTTGAAATCAAGAGTTGGATACTTAACTGACTGAGCCAGCCAGGAGCCCACATGTAGCAACTTTATCAGTCTTTTATCACTTCTAGTTTTGTGTCTTATTTAGAAAGCTTTCATTTGAAGATGATAAATAAGTCCACTTGTATTTTTCTCTAAGGCATATGTGGCTTAACTTGTTTCCCTTAAACAGGGAATTAGGGGTGCCTGGGTGGCTCAGTCGATTAAGGGCCTGCCGGTCTGCCTTTGGTTCACGTCATGATCCCAGGATCCTGGGATCGAGTCCTGCATTAGGCTGCCTGCTTCTCCTTCTGCCTGCCCTTCCCTCTGCTTATGCTCTTGCTCTCATTCTCTCTGTCAAATAAATGAAATGAATATTTTTTTAAAATCTTAAACTAGGAACTAAAATCCACAGCCCTTTTTGTCCCAGGTTGTCAGATGTCTGGCATATCTATCTCTTGGAGCAGTATTGCTTTATATTACTTTCCTATGTATAGTTTAAAAATAAAATACATTTTTCAAAGTAAATAATGTGATTGCAAATAATGGCAGCATTTCTGTTAAATTGTGATAAATCTCATTTCATAGGATTAAGCATTCACAAATTTAAGAATTGTTGATTTTGGGGATCCCTGGGTCAGCGGTTTGGCGCCTGCCTTCGGCCTAGGGCGTGATCCTGGAGTCCGAGGATCAAGTCCCACATCAGGCTCCCTGCATAGAACCTGCTTCTCCCTCTGCCTGTGTCTCTGCCTCTGTCTCTCATGAACAAATAAATAAAATCTTAAAAAAAAAAAAAAAGAATTGTTGATTTTATTTCCTGGTTAATTGAAATCTGAATTGCATTTGGAAGTTCCATTGAAGTTGTGGTTTTACTCTATAGCAATGAATATTTTTTCCCAACCTTTCTGGTTATTTTAATCTATTTTTTAAATGTTCAAAACTGTTTATTTTATTAATTTAGAGCATGATTAGTTTTGTTTGAATATATTTAGTTTTATCTAGAGATTTATAAAAGGTTGTGTTACAAACCTAACCTTGGATTTCATAGATACTTTCAAATGTAATCTTTTCAAAATGTCCCAAAACAGATAAGCGAATCTGTATAGCCTCATGTTTTTGTTTCTGTTTTAAGTTTTATTTATTTAAGAAATCCCTACAACCCAGTGTGGGGCTTGAGCTCACAACCCTGAGATTAGGAGTTGCATGCTTCTCCAACTGAGCCAGCCTGGCGCCCTTCTGTAGCCTCATATTTTATCATTTATTTGGATAACAGGTTTTATGTGAGCAGAAGATAAATGAAATGCTGTGAAATATTATAGGAACTGACAGTTGAATTGTGGTTAAAGACATTGTGTGCCAAATTTATGCCCCTTTTTATAGTTTTACTCTTTTTTTTTTTTTTTTTTTTTTTAAGGTTTTGCCGTTGGGAAAGCCACTGACCGGATGGATGCTTTCAGAAAAGTATGTACATTTCTTTTTTTGATAGTAAAAGATCAGTGTGCTAGGCACCATTAGGACTATAAAAATAATAATAATAATAAAAATAAGAATCCTATCCTGAGGGTTCCTGTCAGAAGTTGCTTAGCTCTCCCCAAAAGTAGGCTTAGCACCTGTTTTCTTTTGCATCATCTTTAGCAGACTGGTGATTGCTTACCAAAAGCATGAGACAGCTGAAAAGGTTGAACACCCTGGCAGGATGTTCAAAGATACTAAAGAATTATTTTTATTATTTTTTTACATGTGAGACTGATGTTGTTATAAATTTTTAAAATTAAATCCTTAGCTTTTATTTTTATTTATTTATTTTCTTAAATATTTTATTTATTTATTGATGAGACACACAGAGAGAAAGAGAGGCAGAGACACAGGCAGAGGGAGAAGCAGGCTCCATGCCAGGAGTCTGATGTGGGACTCAATCCCAGGTCTCCAGGATTAGGCCCTGAGCCGAAGGTGGCGCTAAACTGCTGAGCCACCCAGGCTGCTCAAATCCTTAGCTTTTAGAAGTAGATAATGAAATTTTTGTTTAAGTGTGAAATTTTCGGTAATACAATATTTCATGGAAGGTATTTTTTTTAAATCTCCAAGAAAATGTAAATTCCAACAATAGATTTAAGAAAAATATTTTCCTCCTTTGTTTCAGGCAAAGAACAGAGCAGTTCACTATTTGCATTATATAGAACGATACGAAGACCATACAAGTGAGTGCTAATCTCTTGTAAAATTTGCAGGATTACACTTGTTACATGAAATGTGGCAGTATAGCTCTATGGCTACTTTTGTGTTTCTCTGCTGGTTACCATGTTCTGGAATAAATAATTATATAAAATACAGAAACAGATTTTCTCCTCTGAGAAGGTTAGTAATGAGTGAAATCAGAGTTTTGTCACTTATCCTTGGCCAATGTGTGCTACCTGTTTAGGGTAGTATTAGTTGCATTGTGGTATTTGCAAGGATATTTAAAGCTACACATCTAATTCCTTCTTATGTTTATGTTTTTACTCTTCAGTATTCCACGATATTTCTTTAAGATTTAAAAGGACACATATCAAGATGAAGAAACAACCCAGAGGTAAACAAAAAATACTCTAATAATTTGTTAAGGCAGAGAAATTCTCACAATCCTGTCTTCTATTTTTGATCACATGTATCGAACGCATTTTGGAAACACCGAAATGGAAAGGCCTACATTAGATTTAAGAAGGCTGATGCTCTCAGAGAGAGAAAAAGTCAACCTACTCCCATGAACACAGGCATGTTCCGGGGGGAATTCTAGGTGGTAAGAGCACACTCAGAATAGGAAATAGCAACTGAGTGAGTCCTTGCGTTTGGATGAGTGGGAACATTAGTTCCTCCTTGAGTATTTTTTTTTTTTAAGATTTTATTTATTTATTCATGAGAGACAGAGAGAGAGAGGCAGAGACACAGGCAGAGGAAGAAGCAGGCTCCATGCAGGGAGCCCAACGTGGTACTCGATCCTGGATCTCCAGACTCACTCTGGGCTGAAGGCGGCGTTAAACCGTTGAGCCACCCGGGCTGCCTGTCCTCGAGAATTATTGATGCTATTAGATGGTAGACTCTTATAGTCTCTTTAGTTCCAGTCATTTACTTACATTGTCAAGTATCAATTGAACATCTTCTGTGAGCTGGGTGCTATGCTAAGCTATGGGGATGCCGAGGTGGACCTTCCTGTCCTGTGGAAGAGCAGGTCAGCAGGCAGAGTTCAAGATCACAGAGCCAGGGCAGTCATGCCCAGGGACTCTGGGTATAGAATTTTTGAGTACTTTGATTTGTGTTTAGTCTGTGTTCTATAGTAACAGTGATACTCTAAGTATATCTTTAAAAGTTTGGATCAGAAAACGATAAAACATCTAAATTTTCCACGTCAAAGTTTCTAGTCTATGGAGATAAATCAGGAAGATAAAACATCAAATTCAGTACTAATTGTGCACCAAGAAAACTTGCCTTCTGCTTTAAAGTAATAATCATCATATGCCTCATAAAAACCTTTATTATTAGAAAAAGTATTTAGTTGGGCACTTACACATCAAGGTTTTGACTTGCACTATTCCCATGGTAGCTGCGAGCCCTTGAAATGCGGCTGCTGAGATCTGCCAAATGTCAAGTACACACCAGATTTGAAAGGCTCAGTATGAAAAAAAAAAGTAAAATATCTCAAATTTGTTACATGTTGAATGATAGTATTTTAGGGACATTAGGTTAATAAAAGATCTTACTAAAATTAATTTTGCCTCTTTTTTTAAAACATATCAATGAGAAAGTTTAAAATTCCATATATGGCTTACATTTATAACTTATGTCATATTTCTGTTGAACAGTGTTGGTAAGACACATTTATATCTGAAAGATTTTTGAAACATGGCTTTGATTTTAATTAATTGCCAAAGTTGCCTTTTTTAAACCTTCCCTGTCTCCTGAAGATATATATTTCAAGTTTCTCTATAGTTGAACCCATTCCCTGTGCATTGAGGTTAAATATTCTGATCTTGAAGCTAAAACAGTATGATACATTAGAGATGGCAGTTCCTAAACTATATTTCTGTGCATCACTATTTCTGTGAGGAGATCTTAATAGATATGAACTCCAAAAAAAGAGTACCATGTGGGAAAGTGATTATGGAAACTAAAAAAGATAGTTATACCTCTTCATGATTGTCAAAGTCTTTAATCCGCTACTGTGCAATTTGAATCTCCCAAAGGGGATAGAGAAGGCGACATTCCCAACACTTCCCATATCACACCGCGTGTATACACACACACACGCAAACACAAATTTAGCTTTCAGCAAACAAGGAGCTTGGGCATGGTGCCTGCCTGGTTGTCTTCACGACCAAAGTATATCCAAATAATTACCACAGGGCTGTGACCACTGTTACATGGATATTTGTATACGTACAAAACTGGATACCATTTGGGGAGTGTAGAGTATGGTCCAGGGGCTGTGTGGAATGTATGCCTTCCTTTGGATGCTCATCATCAGCTCTGCTAAGTAGGTGTGGAGGGGAAGAGAGGCTCTTGCCTAGGATCATCCATTGAGCAGTAGCAGGTTAGTCTGTCTTCTAGACGCTTCCAAGGATCTGCCTTGCACCTCCTTGCGTGGGCACTAGTTTCCAGGTGTGTGTGCATATATACACATTTATGCATGCCTATGTTTGTTCACACATGGATACATGTTCTGTGTATATAACTCCTCCACACACAGAAAAACCACCATATTGTTGTCTGTCTTAGCTATCCTCTGTGGTCCCTAGTTTTCACATAATCTGGCATAGCTATGGGGTCCACATTTAATTGGCTCTTTCAAGTAGAAGGGACAGTTCTCTGTGAGGTGCTTGTATCCAGATATAGTTTTTATATACATGAATTGCCATTAAAAATTGGAAATCATATTGGGATGTAATGTGCAGCTTTGTGGCTATAGGTAACAATACTGTATTGTGTCCTTGAAAGTTGTGAAAACAGTAGATCTTGGATGTTCTCACCACACAAACACAGAACAGAAAGTCAAGTGTATATAGTGATGGATGGTTTAACTAAGCATATTTGGAGTCATCGTGTTACCACATATATGTGTATCACATCATGTTGTATACCTTCAACTCACACAATATTATATATGTAGATCTAAATAAAGCTGGAAAAACAAAAACAAAAAAAAAATAAAAATAAAAATTGGAAATCAGAAAGCCAGTAACATTCGATTTCTAGAGTAGCTCTTCTGCCTTAAAGCAGGGACTTGTGTACGGAGTTCCATGTCTGGCTAATCAAAATGATAAGAGTCTAAACTTGGGGTGCCTTTCTCTCATTGCTACCTACGTTTGCTGGGCACTGATCTAGGGTTTGGGGATGCAATAGAAACAAGTAATATCATAGCCCTCACAGAACCCACATTCTACTGAAGGGAAAGATCAGAGAAGCAAATTCCATTAAGTTCCTGAAAATTAAGATGCTGTTTTTGGGGGAATGGGAGAGAGGGTGTGTTACCAAAGCCAAGAGAGGAAGTGCAACTGAGCAATTGAGGAGGGTGAAAACAGGTGTGTGCCTCTAATCTTAGCCAACTCAGGCATGTTATAAAGCATTTCTTTTAGTCTTTATAATATCTCTTTTTTTGCCCATATGCTTAAGAAATTTGTGTGTATTATTTCTTCAGTCTTTATAACCTCTCAGTTAAATCAGTGTCATTATGGAAGTAAGTTGTCCAGGGAAGCAATGAAGCCAGAATGTGAACCAAGGCCTCCTAAACCCAGAGCCCAAAACTGCATGAAAGACAGCAGGGGGACTGTGTTTTTCCTTTTCTAGGCTATGGCCTCCGCTGCCATCGGGCCATCATCACCATCTGCCGGCTCATTGGCATCAAAGACATGTATGCCAAGGTCTCTGGGTCTGTCAACATGCTCAACCTCACACGGGGCCTCTTCCATGGGCTCTCCCACCAGGTAATCCTTCCCTGGGCTCTGAAACAGAAGTTCTTGTTTGTGTTTCAATTGTGTGCATTTAGACTGTGATGTCCTGGGAGCCTCTTGGAATTGCTGTCCTGATGCTGCCTGAGGACTTGGCCATTCTTTGCTGCCTGTGGCTGCATCTGTTTAGTTAATACAACTGGAGAGTTAGTTCATGAAAATTACCCTTAAAAGATACTTCATGGAGGGGTACCTGAGGGGCTCAGTCAGTTAAGCGTTTGCCTTCTACTCAGGTCAGGATCCCCTATAGGGCTTCTCACTCAGCAGGGAGTCTGCTTCTCCCTCTGCTCCTCCCTCTGCTCCTCCCCCTGCTTGCGTGCTCTTTCTCTTTCTCTCTTTCTTTCTTTCTCTCTGTGACTCTCAAAAAAATAAATAAAATCTTTTTTTAAAAAATCTTCATGGGTGTTTTAAAGTTTTGAAATTAAGTATTTATAAAACCCAGTAATTATAATCTGTGTTTTATTACGAAAAGAATTTATGCTTGTTCTACAACTCTAACAGTATAGAAATGTAAAGTAGAAAAAGAAAGACTGTTTTCTAATTTAGTCCTTTTAGTTGGGACTAGAGTAAAGCCTCTACTAAAGAGCACTGTCTTTGGGAGAAGCATAGGTGGTTTTCACGTTACCTGCATAGGTCATTCAGATGGACACCTGAGCCAGTAGGAACTATGAACATTCATATGCCAAGTTATTTTTCTGCAGAGATGAGAGCCCTGGGCTGTCACCCAACCTGCCCCCCTCAGCCTGGGCTAGGTGCACAATTGATCTATTCCACAGCAAAGAAGCCCCTCCTCCTGGGCTGCCCTCTTACCTGCTCCAAGGGATGGCCTGTTCTTTGAAGGAATGGGTAGACCTTAGCTGGATGAGCAGAAAAGACAACCAGGTTCAAGAGACTCCATTTTGATAGTCTTCCTGACACCAAGAAAGCTGGTTTTGAATAAAGTAGTTTGTGGAATATACATGTCTCTGTGTAAAGTAGGAAAATTAATTTAGAAGAAAAGCTTTGGTTAAAAGATCCTTTTTGAAAACTGTGTGTGTGTGTTTCTGTGTGTGCGTGTGCGCGCACGTGCATGTGTGTTGGTACTATCTAAAATATGCTTCAAAAACACTTCTAAATCAAGTAGACTTGTTCTTTTATGTAATGTTTTTTTATTTGTTCATTTGTTTTTTAAAGATTTTATTTAAGAGAGAAAGTGGGGATCCCTGGGTGGCGCAGCGGTTTAGCGCCTGCCTTTGGCCCAGGGCGCGATCCTGGAGACCCGGGATCGAATCCCACGTCGGGCTCCCAGTGCATGGAGCCTGCTTCTCCCTCTGCCTGTGTTTCTGCCTCTCTCTCTCTCTCTCTGTGACTATCATAAATAAATAAAAATAAAAATAAAATTTAAGAGAGAAAGTGCACACACACAGGTGGGAGGGGCAGAGGAAGATACAGGCTCTCTAATGAGCAGGGACCCCAATGTGGCACTTGATCCCAGGACCTCAGGATCATAACCTAAGCTGAAGGCCGATGCTTAATAGACTGAGCCACCCAGGCACCCCTGTAATATTTTTGTTTTATGTTAGTACTTTGAATTTTCTGTGATTACCATGTTTTATCTCTTCTAAAATTTTCCATCAACTATAAAATGTTGCATTATTTGGGGTACCTGGGTGGCTCAGTCAATTAAGCGACTGACTCAATTTCAGCTCAGGTCATGATCTCAGGGTCATGAGGTCAAGCCTCGCATTGCCCCACACTGAGCATAGAGATAAGATAAATAAAATGTTGCATTATTTCATGTGCCACTCGAAAAGAAAAGGAATGTCACCAGTTTAAGCAACAAACTATTGATTGTAAGACTCACCAATTTAAATTATCTTATTTTGTTTTTTAAATAACTCATCTCTTTTCTAATTTCAAACTTATATAGAATTAGACTAGGACAAGATGGCCATAAAGTCTGGAAACAGGTTGGACATACCCAGTATTTTAATGTACCATAAACCATCTACTAAATTTATTTGCCTTTTTCTAGAATTCTGTGGCTACTGTCTGTAATCAGTCCCCATGGCCCTCTCACCCAGTGTCAGCAGTTAGGAGCTTGTGGCCGGCCTTTGTCTCTCAGTGCCTTCCCCATGAAGTCCAGTCATTTTGAACCAGGTCTCAGACATTACTTTATATCACTCATAAATGTTTCAGTATGTATTTCTAAAAGATAAGGACTAAAAAATACCCCCCTGGTACTATTATACCTAAAAAAAAAAAAGTTTTTTTTTTTTAAGATTTTATTTATTCATGAGAGATACACAGAGAGAAGCAGAGACATAGGCAGAGGGAGAAGCAGGCTCCCTTTGGGGAGCCTGATGCGGGACTTGATCCCAGAACCCTGGGATCATAACCTGAGCCAAAGGCAAGACGGTTAACCACTGGGCCACCCAGGTACCCCTATACCTAAAAATTAATAGCACTGCAGTATCACCAGTTACCTAGGTAGTGTTCATAGAAATGCATTCGTTAGGTTTTTTTTAAGTTTTTTTTTTTTTTACATAATTCATTTGAGTTAGATTGCAGAAAAGGTCAATACATTATAAATTCTAGCCATGTCTTTTAGGTCACTTCTAATCTGTAGGTTTCCCTCTTTCTGTTTTCTTCTTCTTCTTTTTTTTTTTTTTTAAGGAACTGGGTGTCTGCCCTGTAGCTTCATAGTCTGCTGCTAAATACCCATGGATCCTTAACATCTTCTTTCCCTATATTGTACTGTAAAATCGTAGCTAGAGCTAGGGGCTTGATGAGATTCAAGTTCAGTTTTGGGCACAGCATGGCACACAATTGGGGGGTTTGGAAAGCAAGAGACCAGAGCCCAAGGCCCTTCCTCCATTCCAGTCGAGAGTTGGGAGCTGATACCAGCCTCCCTAGGTCACCATGGTTTAGCTGCAAAATACATCACCCAGAATCGACTGAAATGTTAGGTCCTCCAAGTGGTACATGGAAGTGCCTGTCCTTTAATTTACAGTTGTGTCTCATAGACCTAACCTGGCATTATCGATTTGGTCTTTCCAGGAAACCCATCAACAACTGGCTGATAAGAAGAGTCTACATGTCGTAGAATTCCGAGAAGAATGTGGCCCTCTGCCCATCGTGGTTGCCTCCCCGCAGGGAGCCTTGAGAAAGGACCCAGAGCTAGAGGATGAGGTTCCAGACATCAAACTGGACTGGGAAGAAGTGAGGGCTGCGCAGGGAATGAAGCGCTCAGTGTGGTCAAATTTGAAGAGAGCTGCCACCTGAGCTTCCCCTGGCCTTGTACTGCTGCAGTAGTAGCTGGTGCTGTCCAGCACCTGGAGAGACTCAGCCCCTCACGTCTTGGAATGTCACTCTCTTTCTAAAGGAAAGGCTAACCTTCTTTATTTACAAATAATAAATAACTATAGCTTTAATTTATTGAGCATGTGGTATATACCAGGAACTGTGTACATACATATTTTCAAGACTACTTTAAATATTCATTTAAACTAGCAAAAGTCCATGAATTAGGAAGACAGAGCTTATAGCCTGACCCAATAAAAAATAATATGCAAAATAATAATCGCTATAATAATTAAAACTAATAAATATTAACTTTGATTTGTCCAAAATGAATGTTATTAACTTCATTTGACAGAGCAGTTAAGTACTTTACTACAGTCACACAGCTAGAAAGTAAAGGAAAACAGACAAACCCTGTTTTTGACTCTAGAAATTCTCTTTTTAAACCTCTTTGTGTGGCTGTTTTAGTTGTTGGTCTAGGTATTACATTATGCATATGTCACTCATCACTTGTCTACTAGTGTTGATATTTTACCTGTTTGAAGTGTAGAAACCTTACCTCCCTTTAAACCCTGTTTTTGTAATTGTTTCAGAATTTCCTCTATCTGCATTTAGAACCATGTTAGATATTTCACTTTTTGCTTCAACCATCAAACATGTTATGGAAGACTCAAGAAGAAAAAAAAAGTTGTGTTTATCCATATTTTAAATTTTTATTTATTTTTCATTATTTTCTTCTTCTTTTTTTTTTTTTTTTTTTTGACTTGGCTTTACACCCAACATGGAACCCAAAGCAGGGCCTGAACTCACGACCCTCAGATCAAGACCTGAGCTGAGGTTAGTAGTCGAACACTTAACCGACTGAGCCACCCAGGCACTTCTATTTATTTATTTTTTAAATAAACTCTACCCCCAATATAGGGCTCTAACTCATGACCCCGAGGTCAAGAGTCACACGCTCCACCCACTGAGCCAGCCAGGCACCCCTACCCGTATTTTTGTTCTTTCAGTTGTTTTTTTCTTCTTTCCTGACCTTCCAGGAGTCTTTCTGTTACCATTTGGAATAGGGAAACACCTAGTTCTCCAGCCTGTCCCCTTCACTGCCATACTCACCATGCTACCGAACGCAGACTTTGCGGGTTTTCCTCCCACAGGCAGTCTGGGTGTCCTGCAGTATAACAGCTCTGACATTGTTTACCTGATGGTAGGGTCAGATGCTACCAGTCAAGGACTCAGTCTCACAAGATTGCCCTTGCCCTACTTTAGATGCCAGTGCAGATGGGTTGTCAGGTGGGCTTCTGAGTGATCAGCTATAAATCAGAGGTTCCCACAACACCTCCACCAGGTTGATTAATTTGCCAGGGCAGCTCACATAACACAGGAAAACTGTTTACTTGGTATTTACCAGTTTATCATAAAAGGATATGATAAAAGATCCAGACGAACATCCAGATGGAAGAGATGCCTAGGGCAAGGTATGTGGGAAAGGGTGCGCCAGTCTCAGCACCTCCATGTGTTCACCAGCCTGAAAGCTCCCAGAACCCTGTGCTATTGGGATCTTTATGGCGGCTTTATCACATAGGCATGATCATTAGGTCCATTTCCAGCCACCCTCCCCTCTCTGGAAAATAGGGGGAAGAGGCTGAAAATTCCAAGCTTCTAATCATGACTTGGTCTTTCTGGTGACCAGACACTAGCCAGGAGCCCACCAAGAGTCACCTCATTAAAAAAAACAAAACAAACAAAAAACGAGTCACCTCATTAGAACAAAAGACATTGCTATCACCTAGGAAATTCTAAGGGATTTAATGAACTGTTAGGAACTGGAGTCAAAGACCAACGGTTAGTATAAAACATGCTGCCAGTGCTCTTATCACTTCAGAAATTACAATAGTCTTAGGATCTCTGTGCCAGGAACACATTTTATTTATTTTTACACATTTTATTTTCTGTTCTCTATATATATGTCTTCTATAATAAGTAAATAAATCTATTATCGCACACATTTCCTTCCTGCTTCAAGAATTTCCTTTAGCTAACAAATTCTTAGTTTTCCTTCAATGAGAATGTCTTTATTTTTCATTCCTAAAGAATAATTTTGCCAGATTCGTTGCCATACTCGAACTTGTCTGTATCCTCAATGCACAGTAAGCCAATGTCTGAGACACTGGTTTTGAAGCAAAGAAAGCTTTATTATCAGATGAAAAGGCAGGGGATCATTCCCAAAGCAGCCTTGCCCTGTTGAGCCTAGGGACAGCTTACATGCAGGAGAGGAGGGTAAGGAGTTTCTAGAAACCTTGAGTTGGGGTGGGGGTTGGGAAGTTTGAAACAATCTGGAAGTGAGCATTCTGGACAATGAGGTACTATTTGGGACCTGGTATGATCAGATACGTCAAGACCAACATTACCATTAATTAGGTTAGGGAATTAATTAGGCAGGGAACAAAATAATGTGGAGCTAAGTTAATAACGCAACTAAAACAACTATAGTTCTGCTTGTGCTTTCAAAGTAGGTCCTGAGGCCAGGTGTTAGTGTCAGTCTGACAGTTCTCTCTCTCAGCACTTGACTAATGTGCCACTTCTGGCCTCTCTGGTTTCTGATGACAATCTGTTTTCCTTTGAATGGTTTCCCCTTACAGACAAGGTGTTTTTCTCTCCCTGCTTTCAAGAACTTTTCTTTGTCTTTAGTTTTCTGCAGTCTGATTATGATATAATCAGTCTTGGTATAGATTTCTTTCAGTATATTTTTTTTGGGGGGGGAGATTGCTCACCTTGAATCTATAGGTTTATCTGTCTTTTGCCAAACTTGGAAAATTTTCTCCTATAATTTCTTCTTTTTAAATTTTCTCTTAACAGTTTAGTAATTTCTAGTTTAGCCACACAGTTGTGCGATCATTGCCACAATCAATTTAAGAACTTTTAATCACCACAAGGTGCTCTATAACCATTAGCAGCACCTTCCCACACCCCCTCTCTCCAGCCTGGGGCAACCACTGATCTACTCTATGGATTTGCCTATTCTGGACATTTCACCTAGGTGCAATCACACAATATATGGTCTTTTGTAACTGGTGTTTCTGAACCGCATAATGTTTTCAAGATTCATTCATGTACATGTATCCAGTACCCCATTTTGTTTTATCGCCAAAAAATACTTCCTTGTATAGATATACCACTTTTTTATTTATCCATTCAGCAGTCGATAGGCATTTGAGTTGTTTCTAATTTTTAGCTATTATGAATGCTACTATGAACATTGTTAAAAAGATTTTCTTTTTAAATAAACTCTATACCCAACATGGGGCTTGAACCCACAACCCCAAGATCAAGAGTTGCATGCTTTTCTGACTGAGGCCAGCCAGGTGTCCCTGCTATGAACATTCTTGTACAATGGAGAGGAATTTTGTGTAGGCAAATGTTTTCTTTGGGGTATATACCTAAGAGTGGAATTGCTGGTCATATCATGATTCTATGCCTAACTCTGAGGAACTGCTAAACTGTTTTCCACTATGGCTTCACCCTTTACATTCCCACCAGTGATGTATAAGGGTTTCTCTACATCTTTGCCAATATTCATGCTATCTTTGGTGATAGTTATCCTAGTAGATATAAAGTGGTATCTCATTGTGTTTTTTTTTTTTTAAGATTTTATTTATTCATGAGAGAGAAGCAGGCTCTATTCAGGGAGCCCGATGTGGGACTCGATTCTGAGACTCTGGATCACGCCCTGGGCCAAAGGCAGGCGCTCGACTGCTGAACCACCCAGGCATCCCCTCATTATGGTTTTGATTTGCATTTCCCTAATGGTTAAGGATGTTGAGCATCTTTTGATGAGCTTTTTGGCCATTGTTTATATTCCTTGGAGCAATGTCTATTCAGATCCTTTGTGCATTTAAAAAAATTGGGTTAGGGACGCCTGGGTGGCTCAGCGGTTGAGTGTGTCTGCCTTTGGCTCAGGGTGTGATCCCGGAGTACCAGGATGGAGTCCCGCATCGGGCTCCCTGCATGGAGTCTGCTTGTCCCTCTGCCTCTCTCTCTGTGTGTCTCTCATGAATAAATAAAGTCGTTTAAAAATAAATAAAATAAAATAAATAAAATGAAATAATTGGGTTATTTGTGTCTTTATTGAGTGGAATAGTTCTTTACAGAGTCTAGATACAAGCCTCCTATCAGATATATGACTTGCAAAATTTTTCTCCTGTTCCATGGGTTGTATTATTATTTTATTTCTTTGGATATTTTTTCAACTTCACCCACATACTACTGGGACATTGATGACATAAACGTTAGGTCTTTGTTATATTCCCACAAGTCTTTGAGACTCTGTTTGTTTGTAGTCTCTTTACCCTCTGTTGTTCAGATTGGGTAGTTTCTATTTTTAAGTAAACCAACAATAGGAGAGGGTGGGGAAGGGTGGGAGTCACACTGACAACCACCAGGGGGCAGAGAGAACTCCCCCAAATAGTCCCTGTTCCGTTTACCCAGTGAGGCAGTACCTACTACAAAGTAGAAATTGATGATTCTAGTAGAAATGCATCTCTGCTCTCTCGAAGAAATATTTTGTAGTTAGAAATGCTTGTTTACTACGTAGATAAATCATTCCAATTTGCAATGATACAGGTGGGATCCCCAGGGGAGCGGGAATATAAACACCTACTAGCAACAAGATTCAGGTTAAACTTTCAGATTTGTACTATGAATACTATCCTGAGGGACTCATATTTGCCCCTCTTCCTCTCATGAGGATATTCAAATTTCTTTCAGCTGCAGATCACTGCATTCAAACAAAGGTTCACAAACCCAAAGCGTAAGTCAAGGTGGGGGAGTGGGCAGCTGCAGGAAGCACGTGGGATCTGGGGATTAAGCTCAGTCCGCCAACCTGCTGTGTGACATCAGTCACTTTATGCTCAGTCACTCACTTTATGCACCTGCGGCTCCCAGTCTCAGCTTTCTAAAAATGAGGAGTGACATGAATGCTGCTTATAAAATCTACACAGCCTGCCCGTGCAGCCCAGGGCCCATATCAGAGGGAGGGGAACAGGTGAGCCAGGTCCACAGAGGAGAGCGGTGGCCGATGGGCTACAACAGACAAGTGGCAGCCCTGGGAGGGGAACCCTCTATTGGCACACTCCTGGTACCTCACCCAGGTAAGGTACCCAGGTGAGACCAGCTCCTCTCTCCAGTCCAGCGCCGCTGCTTCTAAGGCCTCCTGTTTCCAGAAAAAGGCAACACTTGCTGGCAAGTGAGAGAGCTGGACGCTGGGCAGAAAGTGCCTCCCTCTGAGCATATTTGGGAGCAATGACCAGGCGCGCCCCTGCCTTTTTCTTAGCATGAAATCGGTGCCTCCAGACCTTCAGACATTTCGGTGTCGGGAGGGGGGGAGCCTCCAAACTGAGGAACCGCAGGTGAGCGCCCGCAGGGGGCCGGGAGTGGGGTTAGTGCGAAGCCTCAGCGGGAGGCCGTAGGGGCCCGCGGCGGAGGG